GCCCAACAATCATCATTTTGAGACAAACAAAAATAAAAAGTAAAAGATCAATCACTTTTCAATTTTATAAATGTCCTAAAATATTTTTCTAATCAAAATTTTACTACCGTAAGCTTTACCTCCACCTCCACCTCCTACTCCACCATCAACACAATCATTATCATTGTTATTTCTGTCATTTTTACTATATTGTAATTGATAAAATTGTTTTTTTACTTATTATTCTTATTTGTATTAAAAACTAAATATTAAAAATTAAAATTTTATTTTGATTTATTATTATTATTTTAAATATAATAAAAAATATAAATGTTATTTCGATTGTTTAATTTTCATTCTGATTTAGATATTTCCATGCATCCAAACTTTTCATTTTTTATAACTAAACGGTAAGTTAAGTGATGTATTTTTAAAAATATTTTTAATTAAAATATATTTATAAAAAGTATTTAAATATATTTTAAAAAAATATTTGACTGATATGGCGCAATCATTAATATATATATATATATGAAAAGTCAATAAAATCAATATTTTTAGGACGGAAATATAATTTATTTATTTTTAGAGGAAAAGGGTAATAAAAAGCAGATAAGAAGCACCTCACCTACGACAGTAAAGAAGCCCACCTCAGAATAGCAAGTGGATTGCCTAACAAACTTTATGATGCAGACAATGATGACCCTCAAGAAATGGCAAAGATGCTTTTGCCACATCATCACTATATTTTTAAAAATATTAAATTCATTTTTTTTACTTATATTTTTCTTCAAAAATAAATTAAAAAAAAAGACTAAACTACAAAAAATTTAAAAATACAAGCACTAAATAATTAGTTTTTTAAAAAACTTAACTATCCTTTCTCAAAATTATAAAAACTAATTTGTATTTTACTCAAACATCCATTTAAAAACAAGGAAATCTATAAATGTTCAAAAAAAGGGAAAACAAAAATAAAAGGTGATAGGATAATTCATTCATTAATTTACGTAAATTCGATATTATCAGCTAAAAAAACACATATATCATACTCGGTAATACGAAAATAAAAAAAAAGTCTAAAATTTCTAGAAAATAAATATGTAAGAAAATGTCTACAAACTTTTTTTTTAAAAAAAAAACTTTAGATTTAATATCCTTCACCATAGATAAATTAATAATTTTTTGAGACATAGCACGTACTTTCAAAAGTCAAATAAAGGCCGAAGTAACCATTAATTACAGAAGACAAGACGCATATGCTTCAAGAATCATCATCCCTTTCCCCATCCCGCCTCTATAAATTCAATCTTCTCTCCATTCATTTCTGCATCGAAGAAAACCATGAAAATGATTTCTCCATTCTTCTTATTGTCCTTCCTTCTCCTTGCCTTTGCCTGCACAAAGCAATCAATAGCTGCTGCTGATGAGCCAGTGCTTGACATCGATGGTAAAAAACTTCTAACAGGCACCGAATATTACATCTTGCCGGTGTTCCGTGGGAGAGGAGGTGGGCTTACGTTGGCCAGCAACAAAACCGGCTGCCCACTTGCTGTTGTCCAAGATCGTTTTGAGGTATCGAAGGGTCTTCCACTTTCATTCGCACCAGCTACCAACGACAACAGTGGTGTGATCCATGTTTCTGCTGATCTTAACATCAAGTTCTTAGCTAAAAGTACCTGTCCTCAATCAACAGTATGGAGGATTCAGAAGTCTTTCAACTCGAAGCTACAATGGTCTGTTACAACTGGTGGGGTTGAAGGAAACCCTGGTTTTAATACAGTGACCAACTGGTTTAAGATTGAGAAGTCTGATGATCATTACAAGCTTGCTTTCTGTCCTACTAAAGTTTGTAATTGCGGAGTTTTATGCAGGGATATTGGGATTTATATTGAGGATGATGGGACTAGAACACTGTCTCTTAGTGATGCTCTACAACCTTTCAAAGTTCAGTTCAAGAAAGCTTTAAGAACAACCTCGTGAATGGCTGACTGCTCAAAACATTTGTGAGATCAAAGCTAAAAAATAGTAATCGGAGGGTCCTTTTTAATGTTGTTTGGCTCTCTTTATGATATATACTTGTCTTTTTTGCAAGTAGAGCTCATGGTTTTGCTCTGTGATGCTCCAATAACCCCATGGTTTATCAAAATAATAAGAGTAAATGGTTCAATAAGTTTTTATTCTTTAAGGGTTGCAATGGAAAAACACAGATAAGAATATCACTAAGCTTTTTTGTTTATTTAAGCATTTTTGTGAAAAATTATAAAATTTGAGGACTCAATTATATTATGCTTTTGTACGCAAGGACCCTTTTTGATAAACGCGTGGACGTGTGGTGTATATCATAACGTTTTGAAAACTATTGGAATAGAATTGAGAAATCTGAAACCACAAGGATATAAGTAGAAGATTGATGAATCTAAAAGATCGAGTAAATTATAAATTTAGTCTTTTTTTTTCTTTTTTTCGAAATAGGTTGATACCCTGTAAATATATTAATATTAAAGTGAAAAAAGAATAAGAGAGGACTTTAGCCTGCCTAACAGACTCGAAGGACAAAAAACTTATCCCTAAACATAAAAAAACACTTACAGAAAAATCCTAAAAAGCTGAATAAAAAGCGTCTAATCATAACATATTCTACTTAAACATGAAAAGATCGGGGATGTTCACTGTTCATTTGAACAGTGAAATTTCCAGATTACCCCCACCTGTACTGTTCATATGAACAGAGTTTTTTTTTTCTTTTTTTTTTTTTTAAGCCAAGACACCCTTATTATTTTTTCTCCCAACCCGTTTACTGTTCATGGGAACAGTAAACACAAATATTTTTTTTTTCTAGGCCCTTTTTTTTTTTTTTTTTGTTTACATAGCCAAAACCCTCTTTTGACTTTTAGTAAACTTTTATTTATTTATTTTTTATAATGGTTTTTTCATGATTTCCTTATATATATATATTCTTTTATCCTTTATGTTTTTAAAAATATTTTGAATCTCATGTTTTTAATTTAGTCTATTTTTACCTCAATCTTTTTGTTCTTCGTATTTAAAAAAATATATTTTTGGCCTCTTATATTTTTAAATTTTAGAACAAATATATATATATCAAATTATATTTTTTTATTGATTAAATTAATCTCTTAAATTTGTTGTTTATTATAAAAATTTTCATCAAATTAAATTTTTATGAACTTTTATTTGATGATAAATATGATTTATTTTTTTAGCTTTGTTGAAAATTAATTATGTATCCGCATACATAACACCATTAGTTCCTTCGGTTCAAAAACTATTTTTTGGTCAATTTCGCTATTTCTATGTTTTTATTTTTTATTTTAAAAAATAGAGAAAGACTAAAAAAATATAGGAAAAATATAAAAAAAATACTTTAAAAATATTAATCTCTTAAATTTGTCGTTTCTTATAAAAATTTTCATCAAATTATATTTTTTATGAGCTTTTATTTGTTGATAAATATGATTTATTTTTTTAGCTTTGTTGAAAACTAAATATGTATCTGCATACATAACACCATTAGTTCATTCGGTTCAAAAACTATTTTTTTCTTCCATTTTGTTATTTCAATGTTTTTATTTTTTATTTAAAAAAATAGAGAAAGACTAAAAAAACATAGGAAAAATATAAAAAAAGACTTTAAAAATATTAATCTCTTAAATTTTTCGTTTATTATAAAAATTTTCATCAAATTAAATTTTTTATGAACTTTTTTTTGTTGATAAATATGATTTATGTTTTTAGCTTTGTTGACAATTAATTATGAATCTACATACATAATGCCATTAGTTCATTCGGTTCAAAAACTATTTTTTTTTGTCCATTTTGCTATTTCAATGTTTTTATTTTTTATTTAAAAAAAATAGAGAAAGACTAAAATAATATAGGGAAAATATAAAAAAATACTTTAAAAATAAAAAAATAAATTATTCATAGTCAACACGAATAAAAAAATTAATTAATTCATTTTTCAAAACGAGACAAGTTTAGATGGTTTTTTATTAAAAAAATTATTTATACTCTATACTCGAATCTAATAAGTATGATCTTATATATATATATATATATATATAGCTTTATTAAAAATTAATTATGTATCCGCATACATAACATCGTTAGTTCCTTTGACTCAAAAAATATATATTTTTTTCCTTTTGGCTATGTTAATGGTTCTATTTTTTTGTTTTAATAAATAGAGGAAGAATAAAAAAAAGTAATATATATATATATATATATATATATATATATATATATATATATATATATATATATATATATAGTTTTGTTATAAATTAATTATGTATTTACATACATAAGTCCAGTTATTTGTTATTTATTATTTTTTGTGTTATAAAATCAATTTATAGTAATTATGAAAAATAAGATTTTTACCTACATTATACCATACAAATCGTTAACCTTACATATACGATTGTTTGATCGCAGACATAGCGCAGGTATCCAACTCGTAATTTATGAATTAATTGCTAACCATAATAGAAATTAGGTAAATTAATTGAGACCTAGTCGATAATTGGATAGACCATTTTTATCATTTAATATTGCTTCGAGACAAGACAAAGATAATTCATGTATTGTAAAAGTGGTATTTAATAAATGACTTAATTAGTCTCTTTTGTTTCAAAAATTAATTATTTAATCATCATATTTTTAAATTTAATTGTAATTTTATATTTTTTAAATAAAAAATAAAAAAATAAGTCGAAAATATAGATGAAAATAAAAATCTTTTGGAACAAAATAATATTAAATGAATTGTGATAATCACTTATCAAAAAACTAAATAACTAGTTTTTAAACAAGAAGGACTAATTAATTTATTTGTTAAAACTAGATGGCCTAATATTTAATTTACCCCTAAAAGAACATATGGCACCATAAATTGCTACGTGGCACGAAGTTATGACTGGATTTTTATTTTTTCTTTCTTTCTCGCTGCATTTGTTTGGGTTTCAGAAAAAGAGGGAGCCAACAATTGTGTGGCCATGGCAGCAGTAGCAATGAGCTACTACTGCAAGCCTTCTCCATTTCTGGGCCAATTCCCATCTCACTTTGTAAGTCTTTCTCTTCTGTTTGTTGCTTATCTCTCTTGACATTTTTGTGGTCATTGTAAGTTAACTGATCTGTTCTTATCCATGTCTCGTGCTGCTTCATATTGTGGATGATGGTCTTAAATTCATGCATTACCTTGAATCAGATTTTAGTACGAACCTAAGTTGCCTGGCTAAGCTTGAATTTTATCTGCCTTATTATTTTAATATGTTTCTGCACATCAACTACTGTCTGTCACCGCTTTTGTCTTGCTGTTTTTTTGTTCCCTTTTGTCTTAGGTTGCTATCATTTGTAACTGTTGGGATGTACGGATGATGATGATGAGAAGATAACATGTTTTGCATCTGATTCTTGTAGGCAAAATCACCATCCAGACAGATTGCCAGGACAGCAGTTCAGGATTATAAAATCAGTGCATTGTTTTGGGGATCAAAGAAGTCTGTGGAACGAAAAGAATTGGATGTTTCACTAAAAGATTCCATTCTAATAGGGTCAGGCTTAGAGGTTATATTTGATGGTCCCAGAGTATTTGGAATCTTTTTCCTTCTTGTATTTGCAGCTAATTCCAGTTTTCTTGATTTTAAATTCAGGGGACTTCAGCAAACCAAATGACACTGAAGAAGATTTCACTTTCCATCATTTCTTCCATCTCAGAAGTTTCTTCGGATGGATGGGATGCCTGCAGTTTGGATGCTACTGGACCTGACAAGTTTAATCCATTTCTTACCCACGATTTTCTTTCGAGCTTAGAAGAGTCAGGCTCTGCAGTTAAGGTTGGAATCGTTGCTTCACTATAAGCTTCTCTAAGCTTTATTGTTAAATCAGCATAGGTCTCACTTGGACATCACATGAGAGTAATAAAATTGCTTTGTTTTTCACTTAGCACTCAAAATGAGTCTGTTTTTCTTCTCCGTTTCCAATTTAATGTAAAGTGTTGGTTGTCAATATATTGCTTCGACTGATTTCATTTTTTGTGGTTTTAACCCTTCTTGATAGAAGGATTATCCATTGAACATTATCTCCTAGTCAGTCCTGGATTCTTTCTCTAGCTTCCCGTAAGGCATGTATCTTAACATCACTAAAATAAATATCATATGTAAGTAGTATCATATGCAACACTGCATATCTGGGTCGATGCATTGGAACACCTTCCCTTTCAATTTCTTATACGAAGGTGATTGCACTCCATTTGTCTGCAGGTCCTCCATTAGGGCATAGAGTTTCCCACAGACTCCTCTCCCCTGGAAGTATATATTTAACGGCAAGCAAGTATCTTGTATGCCTAGTCAATTACAAAGTAGTCTCAAACAACAGATTTCTTCTGAGCTCTGTTATAATAGTTGAAATTCCTGCTTGAAATCCTGAAAATGTCATTTTTAAGCTGTAAACTCACCAGACTTGTGAAGGACAGCACTGGTCAAATGCCCCCAAAGTTGTCCCTCTTTTCCACATTGGGTTTGCTTATTAGAAAGAATTGCAATCTTACTTTTTCTTGACTCGGGACTGCTAGTCTCATCTTGGATGTTGTTAAAGGGAAATATGCGAGTTCACTTTATGTCAGGTCTTTCTTAGTAGCGGACCATATGAGAATGAAGATGGAAATACTTTAACAGCTTGCTTAAGAAATTATCTCCTTTTGGATTTTGTATGGCTTGGGTATTAAACTGTTAGAATAATAAAATTAAGCTTGAACGTTTCACTGTTGTGTTAATTTTCTGTTGAACTAATTTCAGGAGACTGGATGGATGCCTAGTCACATTGTTGCTATGGATGATTCTGAAAATGTTTTGGGTGTTGTTCCACTCTATCTTAAAAGGTTCTGCGTCTGCTATGCTGCCCACACTGCCAACTCTTATCTACCTTCTTCTACAATCCTCTTAGCAATTCTATTGGTTAGCTGTTTTTTCATCTCCTTTACTTTGGATGTGCAGCCATTCCTATGGAGAATTTGTTTTTGACCATTCTTGGGCTGATGCCTACTATGGTTTTGGATCAAGGTATTATCCAAAGTTTCAGTGTTGTGTGCCTTTCACTCCAGTAACTGGGCCAAGGATTCTGGTTCGCAATACCCCCTTCAGAGATCAAATTTTTGATGTTCTGGTCTCTGCCCTGAAGGATCTGACAGCCAAGGTGTGGCATTCAATTGATCTATTTTATGCTTCTAAGTCTATCTAAATAATTTTTAACTCAAATGAGTAAGGAGCGTTTTATTTTCAAGGAATGTGTCAAATGTTTTGCTGTAAGTTGGGCAAGTAAGCGAGTTACTGTTTTCATTTCACAATCAACTCCATATTTCTTTTCTGAAATAGTTTCCGAGAATGTATCTTGCCAGTAAATGGCTATTTCATGTAAACCTGGTGGTTGCCCAGGTTTTCATGTTTATACTACCAGAAACCTGCCATACGACCAAGTGATTCTCATAGTTCATTGATGTCATCGGCATTGATTCTCCTGTTTAATTTGATTGGATTGTTTCAGATAGACTAATGTTTCTAGAAGGTGGGAAGTTTATTAAGGATTGTATTAGGATGTGCTAGAAAAATATTGCTTTATAATTATTGTAGTTTGGTTAAACCATGGCCTTGATGACATGGTTCAGTAGGAGAATTGATGTTAATTATTATTATCTGATAACCAAAATCATATACAACTGCAAATAAATTTCAATGACACAAAATTGTAGTTTAAGAGAACAGGAATCAATAATCATGCAAACCTTAACTATCCACTGAAAATTGATTTGTTGTGTGAACAAGCATGATAGACTATTGTGCAACACTGGTAGCTGAAACTTTCATAATTGTGAAAAAAATGATCCTTTTGTAGTTTTGAGTGGAAGAATACTTTGAACTGTTTGTGCTACCACCTGCTTACATTCTTTCTTTCCTTATTCTTCATCTTCTTCTTTTTTATGATAGAGAGAGAGAGAGAGAGAGAGAGAGAGAGGGGGTTGGTTGTGACTGGGAACTTATCTGAATAAGAAGGCGGCATAAGGAAAAAGAAAGGAGGCAAGCAACTTGAGAAAAAATTTCCTTGGAGGTTGTGAGAGATTATGTGTGTGTTTGTGGTCTGTCTGTACATTTTCAAATGCAGAGACACCTCATAAGCAATGATTAGCATGGGTTTGAAAAGATCTTGAAGTGTGTTGGTATCAATGATTCTAGTTGAATCTCAGTACTGGAATAACTTTTTAATATCTGTCCATTTGTTCACAACGAGTTTAATTCAGTTTCTAGATAGCTGTTAACCTTACATGCACTTGTGATTGTTACATTTTTCATCAAAAGAACTGTCTAGTCTGAGATGTTTGGATCACTAGCAAAGGACTTTTGAAGATCTTTCATTTTCCCAGAACCTGGAATTAATTCCTGATTGCCTTTATTTCCTTTCTAGTCCCAGGTCTCATCACTGCACATCACCTTCCCCACTGAAAAAGAGTGGCACAAACTGAAGGAACAAGGATTTCTGCAGAGGATTGGAATGCAGTATCACTGGAAAAATCGTAACTATAAAAAGTGAGTGTTGCATGAGGTACCATGTAAAATGAATTATTTTGCTCATTTAAAGTCGACTCCAATCCAAGTTCTTGGCACTCTCTTTTGAGGTGACTGTGCAGTTTATAATTTCTGCATTTATGCAATATTATGATGCAATATCTTATTATGAGTTGCATCGAAGGAAGAGAAAGTCCTGCTACCAAGCAATCACTGTAAAGTTGATTTGGAAAGACAAGTCATGGTTTTCTCTAGTGCCCGAGAAACTTATTGCCTTTTTGTACTGCAGTTCATAGAGTGCATCTGAGATTATGCAGTACACTATGCCATTAATAGCGTCCAGAACTCTGTGGCTTGTTTAGCACACACCTCTCTTACACTTAAGCATGACTACTATGTTACACTGTCATCCTTACATAAGTTCCACATTAAGTGAGAATCCAAGCTATTCAACCTCTACAATTTCTGTTTGCTCATGAATCTCCATCTGAGTAAAGCCTGATCTATATATCTTACCTTTGATGGTGGTACCTTTAGTTTCTCTAGTGTTTTTATGTGAACTTGTACAGTAATGTGTCTCCTTACAGAGGGCCTTTTCTTTTGCAACAATAAGAAAAGGGAAATTAATAACTCAAACCTATGTCAGTGTGCTTAAAATTTTATCAGGTTTGAAGAACACACAGATATGGCTTCATTATTGATTCGCTTCTTACAAATAGGCAAACTAACCACGCACCATACCAGCTCAAAAAATTGCTTGTTGAGATTATAAATCTAATTGTGACAACCTGTTCCCCACCAACTTGCATTCCCACCAAATTTACCTTCCTCAAAATTAAGCCTGCTTTTTTACAAATTGACATTGGAGGCCCTTCACGTTTTTCATAAACTCATGGCTCATGAAGACTTAAACGCCATTAATGAGTTTGTGTTAGTGAGTTCCTTAAGTGCCCCTGTTCGAAATACCTCTGAGACTTGTGATCTTTTAATATCTGACTGCATGAGCTCATCGTGGTTTAAATGTTATGTGTGAGTTTACATAGCAAGACCTTCAAGTGCTTTCTTTTTCTTTTTTTGTCTCTAAGTAGAATCGATCACGTAACCTCTTTGTCTTGACCTAAGGCTAGATCTCATGCTTTCCTTGTTTTGTATATGAATAAAATTTTGTTCACATTGCTGCAGTTTTGATGAATTCTTGATGGATATGAAGCAAAGTAAAAGAAAAAATATTCGTCAAGAGCGAAAAAAGGTTTGTCTCTTTTTCTTCCTTAGATCCCATCATACTCATTCAAATGAGTTTGAATTAAGTCTCATGACATTGGCTTGTAAAGCCTTTGTTTTTCGGTCTCAGTGCTATAGGTCACACACAATGCTCGCACCATTCCATGATGAGGCATGTTAGTTTATTATTAAAAACCTAGAAGTCTCATATGAGTTCTTCAAGCAAACTGATGTTACTTCTGGATTCTTTGTTGGGATCTCAAGGATCAACTTATGCTATTGTTGGTTAAGATGATACTACATTGTCTAAATCTTGGTCTTAGTTATTTGTTGCAAATATATTGACAGAGGATGAAACTTCTTTTCTTCAAGTTTACATCCCAAATCATAGAAAATTTCAGGAAAATCCAACAATTGAGTCAGATAACGTTAATATATTAGAGGAAATCCATGGGACACTTATAGGGCATTGGACTGAATTGCTTGACTGATATTTTTCCTCAATAAGAGAAATAGGTAAAAGGATAGCAGAGACATGTGTAACATCATTCTTGTTTGTGCTGCACATTTCATAGACCTTGTAAAACTCATTGAAGCAAAATTGATCAAATTGGGGCTGACTTCTAATATGTATATATATTGGGAAACTTGTCGTTATCAATGATTTGTAGTGATATCTTCTGGCATTTTCTATCTGGACTCTTTTCCTATTATGATAGTTATTGATCTTCCAGAAAGACACAATATTTTGGCTACTTTCAAAGAGCATAGTGTCAACATTGAACGTGCTTTTGTTAGGTCTTGAGTCTGGGAGTAGTTGTTTCCATTTACATACAATTTGGACTCTCTCTTTCCTGAGTTTCCTTGCCTTAATTTAAGATTTGGTCCTGGGTGCTTCTGTAATCAAGTAACATTTATTTTGATGATGCTGTCTGACTGAACTTTCTAAATGCAGATTTCTGCTCAAAACCTAAATATGAAACGTCTCCGGGGTTATGAAATAAAGGTATTTAGTCCTTGTACATACTAGTGATGAATGTTAATGTGATTCTTTAATCTGTAATTCTATTTGTCTTTTTATTGTTTTGCACATCATATGGTCTTAAGCATATGCTATAATCTTGTTTCAATGTGATTGATATATTCCACATGGAGTTCATAATCTATAGTAACTTGTCATTTGACATTTTTAACGTTGCATCGGATGTAATGTCTGTTACATTAGTGGCAAGTTCTGGTATCTCTTGATATTTGTTAGATTTATAGAAAAATTATCAAATGAATCAAATCTTGGAAGATATGAATTTAAAATACAGAATAAATAAAGTCACACTGAATTGACATGCATTGATAAGATTCAATTTTATGTATGGAGAGCGAAAGTGCCATACAGGAGCTACCACATTGGTCTCTCATATTATTACTTCCTGAATGTCTAAATAAAAAGAATACAAAGGGATTAAGCTCTATGTTCAAAGCAGAAAGATTAATGAAACTATATGTTAATTGAGCATGCTATGCCTGGCTTACAAAATGGAACAGGCATACAAATGGAGCTGTTAAACCCACCTTCAACTGAATAAATGAAAAACAAACTGGGTTACAAAATGAACATGACCGCTTCTCTCATTCCTAGAACTTTTCATAATCATTAAATTTATTTTAAATGATGTTTGGAGGTTTGAGCATCTCACTACTCAACTTTATGATTCAAATATTGGAGAAGAGAAGGGTACGTCTAATAAACTATGACTTTGCCCCCATATGCGTATACACTCGCCTTCCTTAACATTGTCTTGTTTAGTAAATGAATCTGAATCCAAAGCCTAATTGAATAAATAAAAAAGCTAAACTGACCTTGTCGATTAGTATGTAAAGGTCATAACAAACTTTGTGTACTGAGATTTAGGCTGAGGGGGTGAGAGAAAGAGAGAGATGAATAGGAGAAACTATATTCGTTTGAACAGAAAACTGGAAGTTTATTCTAATTATGCATCTTGTTTTAACCTTTTACTCAAACTAGTAAAAAGATAAACTCAATTATCCAATATTAAGTTGTTTTTTAACAATTAATTTCCTTTAGTTCAATATATTTTTACTTTATTTGATTTTTTTCAACTTATCACAACTGAATTTCGCCTTCATTTTTTAGCATGTATATCTTTTGGCACAATTTGTGTTTGAATTTATAGCTTAAATAGATTATTTTCTTTGCTATTCATATAATTTTATTATTTATTGGTTTTGCTTGAATTGAATACTAATTATCAGAGTCATTGCGTTTGATTTAATAAGCATCAATGAATTGATTTTGCCATCCTTTATTCAGATCTCTGGCTTTACTACTGGCTGTCTCTATCTGTATTTTTCAGGTGGCTATATACCTGTAGAACTAAATAAATTGGTCATCCTTATTTAAGTACCGAAATCTTTTAGCTTTATGAGCTTGATGTTATTTGGCAGTTTTACCTCTAAATGAAGTCTCCCAAATGCATGATATATGAGAAAAGTGGATTCAGTAATTTTTAGTTGAGCATTTGCAAACTCTTGGTTATGTCTGTTTGGCCTATTGGGGCTTATTGAATATTGTCAAAGTAGAATTTTCAATGACGTAGTATATTTGTCAAATTGATGCACACTGTGAAAACAGAAAATGAGTTAGCGAAGGCATAAGTTAAGACAGGACTAGAACATGAACTGTTTGATTGAGGACTGTTGCTACAAACTATGGACTTGCCTTTTGGACACCTTTTCACATGCACCAGCAGATGTTAGACCTACCTACGCTTTTACTCATAATTCTTCCAAATGCATAAATATATTTGTGTGCAAGAATTTCTTGTTGTCCTAAACTTTTCTACTTATGTCTGATACAATTTTATTCAATCTCTATAGCTGAAAAATCAAATTTGGTTGGGTGACTAAATAGCTTGGGGAGAGATATGGATAGCGCTACTAGGAATGGTACATAAGGTGTCATTCCATGTTGCCATACCGACCACTCTAAATTATAGAATCTGAAGTAAAGTTTTCAATGTTTGTCAGTTCCAGGTGTTATTTCTAGAGTTCAAAAATGAACCCAAAACATAAGTGGTGCCTTATTTTCCTTGAGCTGAAGCAATATGCTTAAATATCTGCTTCCTAGTTCTGTTGTGATTATCTAGCTTAAATGGTGCCAAAGAGATGGCATTCATCCAAGATTCCCTCTTGGCCAGAGGGCAGCATATTCATCCCATTACTCCTGATGAATAATTAATGCATAGCTTTGAGTTGTTTAAATAATCAATAATTAGCTCTTCTTTCAAGAAATTATAGCTCATGCATTGCTGTGGCAACTTGAATTTGGTTGTTGATTGTCCTCTATCACTTTCTAGACTAGATTTCTTGCCTTAATATTTTTTTCTTGTCTTGGCAGGCTAGGCATTGGGATACCTTCTATAGCTTCTACAGAAACACCACTGATAACAAGTTTGATTCCCATCATTGAAACCTCTTTTTCTTCTTTCCACCAAATTTTTTGTTAATATAGATAACTTCGAACTATAAGTTTGTACTTCGCAGAATCATAGAATTTTGTTGAATCATATCAGATGATTGGATCACCACATTGTTAATATTATCTTGTTTTTCCATAGGTGGGGTACTCCTTATCTCACAAGGGAGTTTTTTCACATCATGGGTTCAAAGATGGGAGATCAGTTGCTCCTTGTTGTTGCTGAAGAAGGAGATGAACTTGTTGCAGGAGCTCTTAACCTTATTGGTGGAGATACTCTATTTGGACGTCTATGGGGATGTCATCCAAAAGCCTACTATCCAAGCTTGCATTTTGAAGCATGCTATTACCAGGTTTTGATTTGATTGCTTGAAGTCTTTCATTTTCATTATCTGTGCATGAACTGCAATGTCAACCCTCTGCCTATTTTGTATGTTAAAATAGAGCAGTCGGTAAAAGATGCCATTTGAAATCAAAAGTAATCATAAATTTTAAGCATGATAAACTTAACTATGGACCCTGTTCTGTAAGTTTATGTCGGTTATCCAACTAAGTCTGTTAGCTTTGTTGATCTTCTGCATTTTTTATTAATAAGCGTCTAAATTGTTTTTGGGATCCTCTCCCCATCTCTAGCTGTGGATTCCTGGCCTAGGATAGCCAGTGTCACTGCATGCGGAAAGTTGCAGTGACACACTGACACTGACAGGAGTTATCTTCTGGCACTTCCATGACATTGCTGTAGACTATAGAGCATTATATGCTGCAGTCATTAGCTTTGTGTGATCGTTTATCCATGCTTGGTTATCTCATGCAGGCAATGGAGGCAGCCATCGAACTTAATCTAAACACAGTAGAAGCAGGAGCTCAGGGTGAGCATAAAATTCAGCGTGGTTACCTGCCTGTGACAACTTATAGCTGCCATTACCTTATTGATGAAGCTTTCAGGAAAGCTATAGAGGAATTTCTAGTGCGAGAATCAACTCAGGTATGGTCTTGTGCATTGCTTATTATAATGGTAATATCCTGAGTTGAAGCTCCTTCTTTCTCCACTTAGCATGTGCATCAGGACATTTTAGGGTTTTTTCTCCCTTTATGATGGTTAGTGTAAGGTATAGACATCTGAATTCCATTGGTACCTGTGATCCAGAACTTCATCTTATAAGTAGAAAAGAGGACGAGATCAAGGACCATTGTCGGTATTTAGATACAATAGTAATACAAGAAATATCTGTCCTTTCTTGTAGAGAATCTGAAACTTGTTTCTTTCCTTGCTTATTTTGGGAAGTTGCCTATTCTGTCGGTCATTGTCAATTTAAGTAAAACATCTAATCCGACTTTCCCACCCTGAAGGATTTTTATCCTCCAGAGGACGATGCAAGATTGAAATGCATCTAATCTGACTTTGCTTGTCCTCTAGATGGTGTTTATCTCTGTCTCTGTGCATGAGCATGAGTGCATGTGCCCATTGTGTTCCATCGAAAATTTTTGCCTGTTGCCTGTTAATATACATATGCTTTCAATAAGTTCATTGCATTTCTCTGATCAACAACTCTGTTTTCCAGGTGAAGCTTGTTATGAAACTAATTCACGATTCCGGTCCCTTCAAGGAGGACATACAATAGAAGCACAATGCATTGATTTTGTTTAATAACTAGGATATATATTGTAGTTGTTTCCATAATCTCTGTAAATATCCTTTGTGCACTCATCAAGGGTTTGTAAATAATCACAGGAAATTAATGTATCTAATGTTAGAAGTTAGAACCTGGAACCATTGCTCCTAGGTTTGGTGGCATGGTGTATATTTCCAACCACACAACCATGATTCATGCATTGTACGCAACTGGTAGCACTGAAAAAACGAAAATTGCAAAGAAATTTCATTTGGAATGGAGTTTACCCCACATTTGGTCCCTGTACTATTCAAATTTTTTTTATTGAGATCTTCTACTCTTTTTTAATTTGATCGAAATCCTCTATTCTTAAATTTTTTTAAATTCAAACCTTCCTTATTATAACTAATGATAATCAATTAATTTTTTTTATTATTAAACTGAAATTAAAAAAATATATATTATTAAACTAAAATTTAGTATTTAAAAATGATTGGGAAAAGACAACATTGCTATCTCTTTTATGTAGAAGCAGAATGTAGCTTAAAGACCTTGGAATATAGCTTTAAATAACGACCGTTACATTAAACAACAGTTGTTATGTAACAATTTTAAAACATTTCGTTATCGTTATTTTAGCATTATAATAAATCTCGATCAATAGTAGGAACTATGACCGTTTTTAAACCATCCACAGTTTAAAACTATGCCCTGGAAGCTCTTGATGATACAGGAAGACTAACATCACTAGGTAAGGCCACAGCAATGTTATTTGTGTGAAACACTAGTGTCCCTTGCAACAACATATAACTGTGAAAAAAAGAAGCCCAAATCCGTTACATAAGTCAATACGAAGACATAATTCTATATGATAATGCTCATTAGTCCCGGATTAAAAGGATTAGCGCACCGCTTAAGGCAGCAAAAAATCGTTCCTTTAAGAACCAGAAGGAGGCATTTATTAGAAGGAAAAATGAGAGATCTTTTGTTTTACCAGAGTTACCTAATTCTTGCATTTCCAAAAATTTCTATGATATATCAAAACAATCCCGACCGTTATTTCTATTTAGCATTTTCCCTAGAACCTTGAATCTTCAAATCCCAGATTACGAGACTAATTTGGAGGATCTGCACTTAATTAATTAATGCAATGACCAAACTCAAGCAATGCACTTCTCGAGTGCAGTAACAAACCGTGAGAAAGAATTACTTTTCTAGTCAGATTCAATACAACAAATACATCCGTCAATCTGTAGCATCTGATTGGAAAAAAATATAAAACAGATAGCCTCACCCCACCTGCCCAACTTGGAAAAGTAAATGGAAAATTTTAGTGTAGGGAATACATCTCAAAATCTAGAACTCGTTAACTTCAAATATATATCTACAAGCCTATTCCACTTTTACAAATCTACTACCACGACGTAAAGCTTGAGAAAATGTTTCATCCATCTCGAGTGGGAGCAAAGCTTGCGGCCACCCAACAATAATGCATATGAATAATGAATTTGAAACAGGCTTTATCTAGAATCTATAGGACGAACCAGATGGTGGTGGTGCAGGTGGCATCCGAGTAGGCGTCCGACGGCTGCTGTTAGAGTGTACATCACCATTCTGAGCTGGATCACTGTTTCGTCGACTGTGAGACCTAGATGAGCCACCAAAATTGTCAACCGGTCCGTTGGCTGCAGCATCAAATGCATTCCTCCAGTCTTCTCCTGATGAGGGACCGTTTGTTCTTGGGCTTTCTGCAGTAATTTAACAATACAAAGTACATAAAAGAGATCAAAAATCCGAAACACAGCATGAGTGACAAGTTATTCTCTTTCAATAAAAACAAGCAAACTCTGCAAAATTAAGTAGTCATTAGGAGAAAGTCTACTGTAGAATTTATGGCTATAACTTCTGCAATGGAATGCCAAACCAACATGAATTACTCCCTATAAACTAATTTCAACTGCCGCTATCCACATTTAGGATAAGCAAGTTTAATAAACCTAAATTCAGCCGCCATGGCCATCAGGAGTAAAATACGAAAATTGTACAGACGACAATTAGAAATCAGCTTCATGAAGCTAGTACAAAAAGGATATACTGACACTGCTGGTTCAATTATTATTAACATGTAGACTAAGGTACATATGTGCATAACCAAACAGCAATATAAAGGTGAAACGTAATATTTGTAGCCACCATTACCTGCTGCTACACCCCCACCACCATCAGACCAGCTGGAAGCAGCAGCTGCTCGATTATCGTGGATGCTAAGTTGCCTAGTGAGTTTTGAAAGAAGAGAGGACTGTTTCTGATACCGTTCCCTTCTCCTCTTTACATTCTGGTCCTCCTGGAGCAGCTCCTCAATCCTTGCCGTGCTTTGCGAACTAGCCACCAAAAATGACCAACAAGTTGAGTCTTCTGTTAAGAACAATTTTGCAACACCAAAAAAAAAAGGAAAAAAAAAGAAAGAAATTTCAAAGGTACTTAAGATGATATTTGGTGCCAGACGCAGCACACCAGCTTCCATTAAGATTATATCATTATGCGTTCAAAAGGTTTGCAACTCATAGGGCATAAAGAAGAAGATATCCATAAATTACAAAGGCAAGTAATAGCACACTGACCTAATAGAACTATATAATTGATTAAGCATGTCTTCTTTGGCTTTCTCTACTTGGCAAAGAACAACTGCCTGCTCAACAAGAACAAAACGATAAATATTTCAAAAAAATATATCAACAATTGAAAATAATATGATGATTGGCATTGAAGAAAAAGAAATACTTTTGGGACATTGGCACCAAGGCTGTTAAGAACAGCTTCAACGTAGCCCCGTACTTCTTGTGACATCCAGCGGAGCTCTTCTTCAGGGTCAGCAGGTCTTCTAGCCATTGTATCCTAAGGGTAAGCAAATTAGAATCATTCCAAGAAACAGGCGCAAGCACCTTCACTTTAGGGGGTGCTAATATTCTGTTAACAGCTAAAATACTATGAAGAAGAACATAAAAAATTCCAACAATCGCAAATTTCAGTTTTGTTATGTATTGATTAATGGTGTCCAGTTGCCCCCTCCCCCCACCCAAAAGAGATGGGGGGCAGGAAACAATAAACATTACTGGATAACTCACTAGGGAACCATCAGACATGCTCTGACGCATGGGAGGACCAGATTCACCAACCACTTGGCCTCCTTTAGACTGGACGACATTTCTCAACTTGTTTAGCCACTCAACCTTATCAGCCATGCTCTCAGCTTTTAATAAAACAGCACTATGAGCTGCAAAACAAAAATTTAGATTGTTAATCAGCATGTTTGTAAGTGAGTGTTTTTTTAATATTTATTTGCTATCTTTTTTTCCAGGGGAAGGTGAATGCAAACAAGATAACGAGGCAAGCTAGAAATACCTTTCAAGACAGTCTTATATGGAACCCTACTAGTTATTTTGAACACAAGACTAGCTCCCTTCTCAGAACTTGGTCCATTTGCCTTTTTATCCTTGGAACTCTTTGAAGAGGTTTCTTCTTCTTCAGAAACTTCTTCAATAATGCATTCCTGATTGTTACATCCAAAGATTAGGATAGAGCCATAAGCATGAAGAGAAGAAAACATGTAAAAATTTGCATATTTCAAGCTTGAACTTTGAAATTATAGCCGTAAAAGCAATACACTAGTCAATTCATTCACTTGGCCCATCAAGAATTTCTGAACTTATACTAGTAGGTAAACCAAAAAAAAAAAATGCATAATAGATTAGCAGGAAATACCACCTGAAGTGCATATGAATTCTTTTTTAATCATATTTGCAAAACTTTCCTTCTATCACTGGCCAGATAGAAGCTTCTCTTCTTCTTCTTCTTCTTTTTTTTTTTTTTTTTTTTTTGGATTTTTACCTCTCAGAAATCCCCACATTTTATATCACTTTTCCTCTTCTGTGGGACATGACAATAAATTTAATGTTTTGCAAATTAGATTATTACTGCTACATTACCTTTCTTTTAAACTTCTTTTTGACAAAACTTTTTCAGGATTACTTCTGTAGCATACTTCAGTAACTGGAAACACTTAGCATTATGTTTTATAGTTTAATTATCAATTGAAAATTCCTTCTCCTGGTGACGTCCTTACCTCCAAAGTAATAACACCACGGAAGTGTCTTTCTTCTTGCTTTTTTGTGTAACCAAGCTGCAAAAAAGTTAAAAAATATAAGAGAGTAAGCTTACAAACAAAAGAGTGGTAGTTGTAGAAAAAGAAATGATCAATTTCAAGCACTGATGAAGGGGTTAATAAACATTATCCAAGACCCAATTTCTGGGTGGGTGACAACATTTAGCAAAGGCACCAAATAACAATCGACAAAATTCTAATGGCTTCAGGGTACAATGTAAAAGACAAGAATATAACTAAAAAACCCTCATCTTGAAACTTTGTGGCTTTTTTTTTTATGTAACATTCTAAGCATCACATTCATTTCAAGCATACTTCTCAAGCTTGACATGATACTCCTACATAACAGATATGTTAATGTGATACATATACATCCTTATGCAAATTTGGTACATTTACAGGAATTAGAGAATGAAAGCATGTCCCCTGATTGGTAAAGGATCATGTCAACTGCAGCACACATGAAAGCAAACATCATTCACCCCCTTTATGTTAGCCAAAACGCTATACACTAACCTTGCCACTTTTTTCGTTCAATACAAACCAACGCCTACTCCAGCCATTAGTTTTTCCACTTTTCTTCAACAAAAACCCTGCATTTCAGAGTAGAATCAATGACAACCGACAAAATCAAGGAGAACAAATAAAAGCACTTCTATAAGGGTCTGGCACCAATCTTCCTTTCCTTATTGGGTACCTGGACTCTTGTCTTTGAAATCAAAGTTGCAGATACAGTTTACCAAGGAACAAGAAAAGCCACAAAAAGTAGGCAGCCAATAACAAAATAAATAAAACAGCTGCACATTCATCATGCCTCTCCCCAACCAAATTAAAAAAAAAAAAAAATACAAAACAAAAAACAAAAAGGAACTAAATTTGTTAAAAATAGTAATCCCTGCAGTTACAGTATACTTCATACACATGTTAAACAAGCCATATGCAGGCATGCACACTCAAGAATGCTTGCAGATGAAGCATGTTACAGCTCCAATATTGGCAAATAAAAAAAAAAAAGATGCTGATTTCCATATTGTTCAGACAACATTATCAGTATGGATATGTTAATATACAAACCTGCGGTTATCTCGCCCCCAGGCCCAGCAGTTTTCAAGGCAGGTCCGTCTTGTGCGTCTTTGTCTTGCATATTGGATTTCTCTTTCATTGATTTCAAGCTTCCTCCAGATTGTTGACCACCTGTTTGGGGGCTGGTTGCCTAAGAGATACATTGAAGATAATTAGTATATGTGACGAGAAAAACTCATAAGGGCTTTTTATGTGTGAGGTGCAGATGCATGCATGTAATACCAACTAAATTTCCAGAAAGAAAATACGTCACCCTGTTTAAAATAGACTGCTCTGCATCAACTGCCTTTTTTGAAGATTTGTTCTTTAGCTCGTCCTCACGGCGCTGCCTATCCATTCTGGTTAAGATTTAAGAAATGAAAGATCAGGTAGGCAGAATGAAAATTCATAGAAACGGCCACATTTCAACAAAAGCACACTTTTTAACAAATAAAGAAATAAATCATTTGGGAAGAATAATGCATAGACACAAATTATGAAAACAAAATTAGATAGACCCTACATTCACATGTCAACACAAGCCTTTGATTTAAGCATACAAAGTGCTTCTCTTGTCATTGTAATTTATTCTCCTTCCTATATTTCTTTTATATGCTGACAAGAGTTTGATAAAGGAAAATTAAACTTTTGCAAACAATGACAATAATTATTTCAAAACAAAAAACCCAATATTTATCTACATTCCACTTTAAAGCATACCGCCTCTGAACCAATCGGATGAAGTGTTGAGGTGGAACAAATGCACGCTCCATATCAACTAGGGCAACTACCATTTTCTTAGCTTCATTTTTAAACCCATCAAGTGCAGAGCTTGCAATTGCAACAACCTGTTTGATAAAATTTTAAAACCGAGATCCAAAAATTCTAGAGAACAAAATATCTTACAGAAATTATACAAAAACAGCAGCAAGGCTTCATTACCTCTCTCTTGAAAGGAGGATACCTTCCAAGACCAGGAGTAGCATTTGCAGAAGAAGATACTATATCAACTAATACACGATGTACCTATTTTGGAGCCACCCAAATATAAAGTAAATCAAGATAATTTAATTGGTAGCAGAAAAAACTATATAAACATACATTGAAGACCAGGTTTACATTCAGCAATACCAATAAAAGACAAACTAAATCGTCAAAATTTTGAAGTCTTTTCTTCCCTAGAAAAACAATTGTCTAGAATATGGCGCTGCAGAATATGAAATTGGACAAAAAAATGGCATTGATATGGAAAAAAAAATAGTGAAAAAGGTCAGAGACCAATAAATGCCTGCATTGTAGAAAACAACGAACGGTGAATGTACAAAATTTTTACTTTCAGAATAAAATTTGAAAACCATTATAATGCCCCAAATTGTTTATGCTAGTTTTTGTGATCTGAAGCGTTCAGATTGGCTTTGGAAGCAGATGATACTCAAACATTATCAAGAGATGAAAAATATCAGCATTTTGCCAAAAGATTTGCAGCTCTGAGTGTTAGTGCAGAGACCACAGAGCCACAGGCAGACTCATATGAGCACGCAAGATATCATTTTATAATAGCAACTTCCCCTTCTTTTAATTGTTGCGTTGAACAAGTTTTGACTTCAAGTAAATATTTTGGTTCCTTGAAAAGAAACCACAGATGGAATATAATCACAAGTAGCACACAGAGAACTGTACCTCATCAACACATAGCTTTGAGGGTTCCTTTGCCAGCTCTAGTACAATTTTTATTAAGGACCTTAACCCCTTCTCTGGAGATATAAGATAAGGTTGGTAACCATCTGCTTCTAGGACAATCTGATATAAAGGAAACATACTTTAAGAGCACTTCAAAACACTTCTAATAAGGAAGAAATACAGCGTAGATTTAGATGAAAAGAAGTACCCTTTTGACATTGTTTATGTCAAAATGCCTATCTAAAGGTAGCTGCTTGATCCTGTTTGGAAAATTACCCTCAAAACTCGCAACAACTTTCCAACCATTACCCTGTAAATAAGCTGTGTTAAACGAATTATAGTGATTGTACAACAGAACATGGTTTTCAAGCCCTAACAACAGAGAAAATCAATACAAGTCAAATCCTAATTATCGTCCTCATACTCCAAAGAAGTTTGAGACAATTAACTGCAGGCACAGTCATGCTCCTGCACTGAACTAGGAGTCAAATTGATAGATAACATAATACAGTGGAACTATGCAGTATCGAATTATTTTTGGCTCTTGAGAAAGCTATCATAACCCAATTTAACAGCACATGCATCCTCTGCTAAATTTATAAACTTTCATTTTCTCATAAGTCCCTATTCACATTCAATTGCCACACAGGTTCAAATTCTTTGAATATGAGCCCTGAAGGTTTAGGGACAACATCCATCAGGCTGCAAACACCACATTAATGAATAATCTTGCGAATTTGAGACATTTTCTTCTAACTCAGAGGAGTTCTTGACATTTTGAGTTTTATTATTTTCTGGCGCATATAGTTCCATAATGCTAAATTATTACATCCACATTTCAAATAGCATCCATCATAGAAACAGTGATAGTCTAGATGACGAAAGCAAACCATAATGATATAACAACAATAAAGAAGCCATTTTCTCTTCTCAAAAAAACTAGAATCATCTTGACACAGGTAAACATCTGAAGTTTACTGTCACTAGATTCTCTTCCAGCTATAATAAAAATGATGCATAAGGTGCTTTGAAAAGAAACCTACTTACTTCACCACCCATGAGATGCATAAGAAATTTGTCCTCAAACTCACGGCAGAGCTCCAAAGCTAAAGCTCTTGTACCTTCAGAAGTACTAACCATTTGCTCCCCAAGCCTCACCAATTCATCCTGAACTATTTGAGATTTCCCCTGAAGCCTGCAGTTTTGTCAGCATATAAACAGCATTACAGGCCTAATTGACACAAAGCATAATAACACAGGATAATCCCAGACCTAATCTAGCAATTATCTGCGATAGAAAATAATTTCCTAATTCTTGTCAAAAAGAGGAAAATTCCAATAAGAAAGCAATGCCAAGACAACAGCTGATATTTACGACAATTTTGAAAAAAAAAAAAAACAGATAAGCTAATGGAAACAACAATCAAACAGTAGCAGGAGAAAAGGAGCAATACCCAGAAAGGAGATTGGGAAGCCTGAGTTTCATGCGACTACGGATCTGACCAGCAAGAGCATCCACCAGAGCAACTCTCCCAAGCTTGCTTGGAGGGGCTCCAGTCAATATGGATTTTAGACTTTCACTTTCAGCTCTCCAAGCAGTTTCCAAAGAGTTCTCGGATGAAGCACTTCCTGATTGCGCTGAAGCTATGGAAACAGATTGACCAATCAATGCAACCCATGGAATATCAGATGTTTTTGGCGGTCCCTGATTCAAAAGAAGAGCTTGAACCGCTGCAAGAGCTTTGGACTCTGTAGCTGCTTGATCAATTTTACTAATAATGCCAACTGTTCTGGTACCTATAATGCAACAGAAAGTATACTTAAACCTCTATTAATATGTTTTCAAAAATTTATAATTATTGATCTATTGAACAAAAAGATAGGATGCAAGCTTAACAATGACTCACTCTCTGCATCATATTCCTTTGCGATTCTGAGGGCTCTAGAAGAAGAAATTTCTGGTGCCTGAATAGCAGGTATTACAACTAGCAGAATAGCATCATTGTGCTGAACATAATCACTGATCTGAGGGAGCAGAAAAAATAAGCTATTAAGTGAGCTTCCAATAGCACCGACTTATTAAGTATAAAACTTCATTAAAGAGCACCAAGAGGTGCAGTCCATACAAAGACACAGCGTCAATAGTTGCAACCCACACAAACAATAGTATTAGTTTATAGGATGAATCCATTCACAAAAGAGGAAATCTACACTAATATATAGCAAGAAGAGCATCAAAATATTGTTTGACCTTTTATGTAAGGCATCTTACAAACGGAAATAATCATCTAGCTGATTTTGTCAGAGAATAGTATTTTTCATCAAGGCTCTAGGCCTCTAGCTAAATAAAAAATTACACATGTACCTACTGCAAAATATTGCAAACTAAAATAAAATAAGACCACTCACCATTGAGTCATCTACGATTCTTTGATCCACCCCAGGCAAGTCAATCAATTTCAATGGTGGAGCTGAATATATCAAAGAAAAGAAATTAATTAAAGAATGAAGCAAGGAAAGTGCATGTATACTATTTGTCAGCATCGGTGAATGTTGTCTCAGTGCCTTTGCATGAATAATCTGTACTAGGACCTCATCAATTCAACATAGGCCACACCATCTACTTAACTGAATCCAATTTCCTAGAAATCATAGGAAATGCCTTATATGATTTGCTTTAGACCCTTTTACTATTAGTTCCCACACGATAAGTACAGACAGTCATTAAGAGAGGAGCCAACCTGTACTGGTACGAAGTTTCAGATATATTTCATCACGAGCCCTGCCTGAGGAACCCTTGCTTAGCCTTTCCTGTAGAGAATGCCGAAGAGCACCTGTCATGTACAAAATTAGAGAAACCAATGAGAATCAGAGGCATTAATGACAATTCCAAATGAATAGATGCAACGTTGGATGCATGCTTCAATGACATTAACACCAAGCACCACTTGGCCAACAAATACAATCCTAAGCAGTTGGCTGATAATTTAATAAGATGACTTACTCGCAGAAACCTGTTGATTTTTGCTGTCAATTTGTAAAATTATTGATTTACTGCTTACGGAACTATCCCTACTTAAATCGATGCTTATTGGAGCCCGAGTAGCGCCATTTTCACCGGTTGGCTACCAGAACCATAAAAAAAATCGTTGTCAGCTGAAAAATAAACATCAAATCATCGAGAGCCCAATGCAAAGACAAACTTACCAAAACAGGATGTCCGATTAAACTGTTCAGAGCAGCAGATTTACCCGCACCCTGCTCAAAAACATATCTGGTTAGAGAGAAAGGCTTCAAAACTTCCTACATTAGAGCTTTCTTTTCTTGCTGTTTCGTTTTTTAAATTCACATTCATATATTTAATCCAGGCCATTTTTCAACAATTTCAAAATTCGAATTCTTAATTGCAGAAACCTAGAAACAGATCCAACGATCTAATATAATATGCATTTATTAATAAGCGAGAGAAAGGAACTTACGACATTGCCGAGAGCTACGACATTGAGGAAAGTGGATGAGCGTCTAGAAGACGACGACGAAGACGACGTCGTTTCATCAACGTCTTCATCGGCAAGCAAAGCAGATGCTTGCCTCATAGATTCCGAAAGGTTTGCCAATTCTTCGATCGCCTCCATAACTAACTTCCAAGGATTTTACAGATTTCGGAATCACGAAGAAACAAAAAGTATTCGTAGATCTCGAGCGGGAGAGAAAGAAGGTGAGGAACCCTAAGATTGGATCTGGGTAGTGACCTCAAGGAGATTTGATTGATTCAAAAATTTGGGGATGCAACTAAATATAATTATTATAAATTCGAAAAGGACGGTTGGTTTGTTTTTGCTTTTTTTTTTTTTTTAACCAGCACAGAATGATGAATTTGAAAATAAATTCAGGACAATCCGTGTGGAGGCAACTGGCGAGATGGATTTTTTATCTCATGCAGAAAGGTCCTCTAATTTTTTGTTTTTATTTATTCCAATACCTGGAATCGGGAATGTTAGGAGTTAGGACTACTTCGGCTAGGTCCCTAATCTATATTTTTAACCAGTGTATCCATAAATCCTCGATTGGATCCTTCCTTTTAAAAATGTGCCTCCAACCCGTGGATGATGTATTGATGTTGGGTATATTTGTTCATGAAATCATCAAATTGAGGATTTATAGATGCATTATGGAGTCAATTGGTAAAAAATATATTTCAGAAACCCAATTGAAAAAAGGTATATATTGAAGAATTTAAGATTATTCTATTTTCTTTTCTGATCTGATAGAGTTTTCCGTCACATTTATTTGAAACCTGAAATATCAAGTTTTCCAAAATGAACTATGGGCACCTATTATTTTATGGAAAACATTATAGTCAACCATTAAAGAATGGATTTTACCGGTATCAAGATTGTGTAAAATTTAATTTTTTTAATTAAGATCCTAAATTTGTTTTAATCCAATTTAAGAGTTCTAGAATTTGTCATGTAAATACACGTGACAACGTGACAAACTTTAACCAATAACAATGTAAACTTATCATGATATGTGGTAAGTTCTTATTAGCTAGAGCTTATCACGTATGCTTACGTGGCACGTTAGAATTTAAAATAATAACAACATAAAAGTATAATTCTTAAATTGGATAAAAAAAAATTAAGTTCTTAATGAAAAAAAATTCGAATTATACAAAGTCTCGATATACGTAAAATTAATTAAAAAATCAACGAGACAACACAATATTTTTCTTCCTTAAGAACTGAATATGAGAAAAATAACTTCGGAAATTTTAAAAATATCTCCACCTTTATTAGATCATTTTCTCTAATCCTGAATTTACTTGTCAATATTAAATCTCGTAAAATCACCATTAACAAGGCAATAAGTAAAGGTGTGAAACTTCCTCCTTGCTCCAGTCATAATTTTTTTCTTTAAACCTTTTACATCCGAGTATTGCACGTTTAAAGGACTCAATCGAAACTATTAGCTCTAACACCCTTTATTGAGGTGGAGTAAAATTATTTAAAAAATCCCAAAAAAAAGAGATTTTTATTATTCCTAAACTATTTAGTTAATAATATTTTTGTGATTTTAAGTAAGTAGGATTTTTGTTATTTTAAGTACTTTTTAGATATTTATTTCACTTACAACATTGTTCATCCTCTTTTTTATTGCACATTGAATGATTTTTTTTAGTAATTTTGAGGGTTTTTTAATAACTTTTATTTCGATTCATAACTTTATTTATATTGTAATATGATATTTATCTACTAAAATGAGAGAAAAAATGAATAGAGACAAGGGAGAAAAGAGACAGATAGAACTATGTATAGATTTTTAATAAATTTTTAAAATATTATTATTCATTTTTTAAAAAAAATTAATATAATTTATGTGACGAATTTTTTTAATTTTCAAATGATAGTGGCATATTATTTCATCTACCCCCAAATTGATAGAAATAGAATATCATTGAATAGAAACACTCAATTTTATCTCTCAATTTTACTTATAGACCATTTGTCTTTTGACGAATAGCATAAAGAGTCTTGACGTATTTACATATTTAACACCTTCGATTTTTGGTTCATAACTCCTTGGCTTGTGAATTATATATATATATATATATATATATATATATATATATATATATATATATATATATATATATATATATGTTGAAATTCAACATGTAGACTGTCATTAGCGGACCCATTGAGACCGGAAGCTACACAGCCATATTGGACTTTTTCTTTTTCTTTTTCTTTTCCTGGCTTCATAATGCTATATGGGATGAACACAAAAAATCAAATTATATGCGTCTTGATGTGATCATTTTAGAGCCTACGCAAAAATTTAGGATAACTTTTATCGATCATCCTTTCGTTTTCTTTTATGTGCATTGCTTATGATATTAATGAGACAAGGACCGTGAAAATCTAACTGAAAAATAGAGATTACAATTGAATAAATATAAAATAAATATCTGTTTTATCTGATTTAATAAATATTTTTTAAAAATATCAATTAGGTATTATAATAGATAAGGATAAAAAAATACATATCCGTCAATATGATTTGTATGAATGCATATTCTTTATCCTATTAATATTCATTAATTTATTTAGATTTTTTTATTAACATACATGAATCTAATTGCATAAAATTTAAAAATTTAAAATCAAAATATTAAAAAAAAAACTTGAGGATAAAAAACTTATAAAATAAATAACCAAAATGCAAAAAAAAAAATTAAAATTTAAGGATCAAAAAAACTTTTCTTAAAAATTATAAGAACTAAAATAAATATTTTTTATAAATTAAATTTAGCGGGCTGAGTAAAAATTTATATGATGATTTCTTAATAAATAGGGTATTCTTTTGATGTGTAGGATAAAAATTTAAATTAATAGGTCGGATATCCGCTCGATGCCACCCTTAATGAAAAGAAACACTAAACAATCTAGCACCTATATATAATGCTGTAAAAAACCGTTTATAATATTTTGAAGTCAAACGGATTCAAAATTTTTATGAAGTTTAAGATAATTGATCTTTCAATTTTTAATTTCAAATCGAACCCCTCTTTAATTATTTTTCATATGAAATTAGATATTTCTACTAGATTTTCATTAATTTCAACGTATAATTTCAATTCCTCAATAATTAAAAACATGTGAAATTTATGAATATTTTAGCACATTTTTAGTGGTTGGAGAAATTAAAAGAACAACTGTGCCCAAGTCACGTGTATTTTTTCATTAGAATTGATAAAAACAACTGTTTGATCCAATTTCAAATGAACGAACAAATGAAAAATAGTTGAAGGCAGGGGCAATATGAAATTACAATTTGAAGGACTAATTCTCAATTGACGAAGAAATGATTGCTTTCTAAATTTAATGTCCGTGAAATTCTCACCTTTCTCGATGAGACAGGGAAGAGGTAAACAGTTCTACTGCTTCTGAAAGGGAGATTCTTGTGTGGGCGGAAGAAGCCTTAAGGAGAGCTCAACACAGAGGCAGCTTCTAAAAGGAACCCGGAGCTAGCAGAGGCCCGGAGGGGTTGGTCTGATCAGAGATGGAAGAGGCAAATGGTTACATAGTTTGCTGCAAATTTGTGCTATGCTTATCTATTTAATTTGTTTCTGCATATACTGAGAGATTTACTTGCATGTTATGTGGGTTGGAGATGGCTCGGGACCTGGGATATGGACAGGTTGAGCTGGAGGTGGATTCAGAAATATTGGCTAAAGCTTGTAAGCTTCAGCATTATGTGCCCTTGTTCCCTGATATTCATAGTCTGATACCTAGAAGCTGGCAATTTCATATTATCCATAACTTTGGAGCAAGAAATGGCAGTACAAGTTGACGAGAAATTTTATAATACTCAACGAGTAATTAGTGATATGTACTCCATGGATCCATTTTGAGAAAAAAGATAGACATAAAAACGAGAGATAAACAAGAGAGACAAAATAAAAAAAAAGAAAAAAAGAAAAATGGACAAACGTAGAGTGCAAATCTTGCAGACATTTTCAAGTCTCAGACAGATTTGGATCTGGCAGAGGGAATCTGATAAGGAAAAAAATTTGTTACTTAAATACATTTGATTTATGCAGTTCCAATATGAATCATACATATCAGTGACAAGAGATGCTGGCTCGATTCTTTACTGAAAACCATGACTAAAAAAGAAAAGGAACTCCATAGGTAAGAAACTAGAATCTTTTGAGAAATTCTGATCTTATCTTGGAGTGACAGAATGTCAAACCAGATAGACTAGAAACGACATCTTTTATGTCAATGACACCAAAGAAAGGCGATATTAAATGAATAGAATTGGGATATGGATGGAATATAATGAAATAGAGCCACTTTGAGGTTCCCTATGAAATGAGGCATGGAACGAAGACACTACCAAGAAGTTCCGGGGTTACGAAGGAAACACCAGCAATAACTCAAATTAGGCCTTTCTGGTCTTAAAAATAATTACATAAAATCTTATTCTGAGAGACAACTTTCCTCGTACTGTTTCACAGTTTCACTATAGTAATAAAATCCATGCATTGCACAATCCTTCGTAACCTATATTGTATCTTGCCTCAAGCTAATTCCCTTGGTTTGACAACGACAAGGGAAAGTAAACAGCTCCATAAGAAAAAGTACCTACAGGCAGCAAAGAAACAATTAAGTAGTTAGCTACCCCTATTTGTGGGGTTTAATATGTGGGTAAAGCCCCAATATGTGTTCTGGTGTGAAGTCGTGCCGAGTCAGGATTCCAACAATTGGAGGCCTCTGCAAAACAGAGAATTTGAGGAAATCTTTGCATGAGTAGTTGCATAGATTCTAAAAAGAAATTTTAAACACGAAATTACAGAGATTCTAGACAAACTATGAGCAACAGAAATGGATAAATGCAGATCTGTCTTATTAATATGTATATAAGCATTGGGACAGTCTTACCCCTGGTGTCTTCGGCACGACACACAAGTGTCTAAGGCCAAGTTCCCGAAAGAGAACAGCTGCTTTAGCTAGAGACATTGTTTCAACCACAGTGTATGGAGATGTGTTAGTAATAGGATAGAGATCAACATACATCTCCATCTCCTCGTCTGTGATCTCCAAATCCTCCAACTTGACCCCTTTGCCTGATCCAGCCTTTCCAAAATCATGTGCCTTGAAACTCCTCATAATTTCTGATCCCTTCTTTACTCTCTGCTTTGTAAATCTCTTTCCTTTAAGCAACACGAGAAGATGAGACCTCAAGACAAGCCCACACAATTCTGGAGCATCTGAATAAGGTGGCTCATCAATCACAGGGAATCCGTTATGCCCTGTTGTTGTCAAAACCTGTAATATGTTCCCTACTTTTTCAATCCCAGAGAATGTAACTAACGGACCAGTAACAACATCACTTGCAATAAGGTGTCTCATGTATGGTTCTGCATGGGCTTCCATATAAGGCAATCCTTTCATTTTCACAATTTGATCATAAACACCCTTGTTGAAACTATCAGCCACAGTTTTTGAAATGAGGAGCACGAGCATCATTAGTGGAAGCATAAGCAGATCGTTAGTAAGTTCAAGAAGTATGACACAAAGAGAAACTGTCATTCTCATGGTGCCACCAAGGAAGGAGGCAGCTCCAAGAAGGGCAAAGAGACCCACATCAAGATTAGAAAGGTGACCAAGCAGTGTGCCAACAAGACGCCCATAAGAGGCCCCAGCAAGAATGACTGGGATGAAGAGCCCAGAGGGAACAGCAGTGCCATAAGTAACAATGCCAAGGCAGAAAATAGCAACAAAGAAAACCAGAAGGGTGGAGAGTTGAAATTCCTTTTCACTGCCAGCAGTGAATAGGTTGCGGATGGCATCATCATTGGTGTTGAAAAAGAGGGAAGCAAGATCGTTATAGTGGTTTGGCGGACACTGGAAATTCTTGAAGTTGCCAGAGCGACCTTCTGTGGGACATTGCTCGACCATGTGAGGGGGGCAGGGAATGCACTGTGAAAGCCATGGGAGGCCGTAGGAGCAGCAAGAGGTCAAAAGGGAAATGACAATAACAAGCAAGACCTTAAATGAAGGACCCCTCCTGCAATTTGTTCAAACCATCAAAACCAACAAAAATATTGTCAGTCATCCACTAATTCCAGGAATTCAAATAATTGCTAAACTAAATTAACAAATCTGTGTCAGAAAATTAAACCAGTCTTAATAAAGCAAGAATCAAAAGCGACTAAAAAAGTTGGAAAAAAGAGGTCAAGCAGTCCATGTCGGTGAAAAAGAGTTTTACAATGGAAATTAAATATAATAGCTGGGTCAATCCTTTCTGAAAATGTAGATATGAATAAAAATATACTTTTCCAAGTTTTAACTGTTCAAAAGCGGTATGGATGATAAATATAAAGCATAACTATTCACAAACAAAATGGTGATAAAGATTAACGGTAAAAAAATATGAAGAGAATTTGGTGCATACTCATTGATGATGCTGTAAGTGCGAAGGACCTTGTCAACACAAAAGTTGTAAAGGCTTCCAAAAACACCTCCTATCACTCCAAGGAAAATAACTGCTAGTAAATCTGGGGTACTGTAAGTAGCTTTTGCAGAATTTACGTCAAACATGATCAGACCTCCTTGTCCAAATAGCCCACATTTTCCAGTTCGGCAAATTTCTATGAGACCTCTCAATACAACTGCTACTACAGCTGTTGTAAAGAATGTCCTCCAAAGAAGGGCACTCCTCCACCTGAATGATACATGAAAATGATACATCACCTCATTGTAGAAGGAGGAAGAAAAGAACACTCAAAAGTGGAAGTTGAAAAAAAAAAAAAAAAAAAAAACACCATAATAGCATCTCATCGTGAGAAGCAAGGGATTCAGAATTAAGGTCACTGGTAATTGTGAAAGAAAATTCCCTGCAACCTGTTGAATGCTAAAAGAGTTCTCTTGGGTTTTACAAAACATCAAGTTAGTCAACCAAATTGAATGGATCTATATGTGACAATGTACTTTTGCAACATAAATTGGAATTATAGAAGGTGATACACCTATTCAAATATAAACATAAGAAATTAAAGAAGCTAATGTACCAATTCAAGGACGGAGAAATGGTGAGAAGGAGAGGATGATGAAAGAGCAGGGAGGTACCAGGAAGCAGCTTCTTCAAGGGCAAATAAGACCCCACCAACAGGAGCTCGGAAGGCAGCTGCTACACCAGCAGCAGAACCACATGTAATCAAATCTCGCCGGTCTCGGTCATTTTTGAAGTATCTCAGCCCTTTCCATGTCAAATGATACTTACGAGAACCTCCCTGTCCAAGTAAGGAGGCTATGCAAGCACCAGTATGTACCATGGGTCCTTCTTTACCAACAACAAATCCAGCAGCAACTCCAAATATGGACCCAAATATCTGAGAAGTTCACATTAAATATAAAAATATAAGTAACCAACAATTTACAGGTTCCCTAAGCACCCCATAAAACAAGATCTCCCCCACTCAAATCAGTGATGAATTAGATCATCATGAAGTACTAGAAACAATTATATGGAAAAACAGTCAACAACAAAAGGCAGGGAAATTAGCTGCGTAAGAAAATCAAAATTGCAAGCTTTTCCACAGCAACAAAATAAAGTAGAATATTTCATGAATAAAGGAAATACTCAGCATATCCATTTGCAGCAAAAGCTTCTCAGATTAAGAGACACTAACAGGATTCTTCTCTTCATTTAGCTTTTGCATGTGTTCTTGTGAAAGGGTCAATGGGAAGAACTAATTCAAATGGTTTGTGACTTCCTGTTTCACCTCATGTGTTCTGACAAGGCAACACGTTCAAATCCAACCTCCTCAAACGCGTAAAGAAAACCGTGCATGCAGAAAAATCAATGGCATTCTTTGTTATGGTTTTTTTAAGCCTCAAAAACAATGTTCAAGTTGTTGCATATAACAGAACTTCAGCGATCCTTTACGCTAATGGCCAGACAATGCAAAAGATTGGCATGCTTCCCACTTAAATAGGTGAATGAATAACATGAGCTCACACAAAAATGCTAGGTTTAGAGTAATGCTTGGAGGCTAGCTGATGAAATAGTAGAATCATTGACTAAATTTGATGCATGTCTGGTAACAACTAGATCATAATTTTCAGATTTTATATACAATCTGTTGGAAGCATGAGGATTGGATCTGGCCTCTATGTCTTTGTTTTCATCCCCTATCTAAGAGGTGACCTGAGGCTTTGTCGACAGGCATGTTTCTCATCTTTCTGCCTTTTCTTTATATTTGGATATCACCAGCAATTAACCTACTATTAGCCAGCTTCATAACTACACTAGGGGGCACCTTGAAATTTGCAATAAGTGGCCAGAAAAAAACTATCAGCGGTAAGGAATTAAAATGCATTGTATAATTATATGAAATGAGTTGATTTAAAACATTCAGACAATCACTGAATTCAATTAATTGTATATTGGGAATCAATAGAACTTCTGAAGTTGGTGGGAGAGAGAGTTGCAGATAGTTTACGATTCACCTTTACAAAGAGGGTAGCAGGAGCCAAAATAGAAGGAGCATCTACACCGTTGAGATATGCTTTAACCTCAGGTATACCAGAGCCTGCTGCTGCAGGAGCAATGTAAGCACAGAGGGCTCCAGCAGCAATAGCCAAAACCACATTGGAACCAGCATAAGTTGCAAATGCCTGATAATACCTGCACTGAAATAAGAATCATTCATATCATGTTTGATTATAAGAAAACTCACAAAGCATGTAAGTTGTTTAGTGATAAAATTTAGCCAAGTATTATTACTAAGGTAAGACAAAATCTAAAGACAACTTGACTTGTAAAAGAACAGAAAATTGAAGCACAAATATTGGCTTTGTTGTATAATATTAAAAAGCAAAAGCCGTGTTGACATAAGTTAAAATATCAAGAAACCAAGCCAATCACAAAGTACAGTTATCCCAAAACATGCAAATTTTTGATTACCAGGAACAAAAATGGGGGAAATAATAACAACGGAGCATGATCCTGAATGGAAAAACAACAGTTCCTATGCATATGAACAGCATACCCAAATGTTCAACAATTTCTTGACTACATCCAACTTTTTAAAGCTCTCATAATCATGGTGGCACATGCACTCAAGCCTTCGTATGTAAGGTCATTACTTCCCAATAATTTATCTAGATATTTCAATTATGAGATTTCAAAAACCAGACTTTGAGGCACATAAAGCATGGGGTGAACTTAAAAATAAAATAACAATTATACACAATTTACATTGTTGGGATTTCAGATGGTTATCATGGTCAATAAATTTTAGAACTTCAAGCTCAACAACTGGAATAGGTTATCACAAAAAAGGGGAAAAAAACTGTTATGTCTATGGAATTATGTGTCCTCATGGATGAAATTGTTGAAATCTAAGTGTGGAGGGAGAATGGAGAGGGCTACCCTCATATAGCTCAATGCCTAATGGGTCTCCAAATGCAGCAAAAAGGTGTTCATAGTAGTATAAAATATGAACTTGGTATAATCTTAATAGAATTAACTGAAAAATTAGTGCACTGCCAGCATGATGAAAAAAACACTTTAAGTAACGATTAGGCTTACTTGTTCTGAAGCATGAGATTGTTTGTCAATAGAAGTTTGAACCCAGCTATATTCTCAACAGCAAGGTTATTGAAAAAGCCAACAAGCCCTGTACCTAACCCAATAAGGAGAGCGAGTGTCCACTTGAGGAAAACATACTGAAATATCTCAACCTTCTTTCGAGACCTCCAGTCCTGTTTAAAAAGTTCATTCTCAGCAATCCTGGAAAAATAAATAGACACAAGTGGGTCAGAATGCGGCAGCAATCGGGTATTACTTCTAACATAAAATGAAGTATTGCTTAGAATTTTTAACAATCTCTGTAACACTAAAATATTATGAATACTTCAGAACTTTTAACAATCTATTTTCCCCTTCAATACCTCTAATTTAAGCATTTCAATGATTCCATTCTCGGTAAGGAGAAGAGCCAAGGCACCAGTGAACACCCTAAGGTTACCGAAAGGCTAACTAAGGTCACCAGCTGAAAGCTATAGGTGAACTGCAGGCCAGTAAGGAAAGCATAGGAAAGAGGGGTGTTCCCCACATAACTTTAACAGCCCAATTCTCTAAGACCAATTACAGCCTGAATGCACTCACTGACTGGTGAGAAACATAAGATCAAGGTCGCCAGCCTCTATCATTTCCTGTAAATAGTCGGCCTTTACTTGCCACAATAACCGCTTCCACTTTATAATTCCTCAAAATGCTTCTTATTGAAAATATCTTCACATTTAACTGTTATAAAGACCGAAAGGAAGGTGAGTTTTTTCTGCTCAAATGAACATTAGCCACCTTGCATAAACTCAATTACAGTATAACTATTTCTTAGAATTATAGCATTTGATTAATGCAGCATACAACCAATTTAGTCCTGAAAAACTACAAATATGTTACCAAGATACCACATCAACATCTTCACTCGTTCGAGGGGTACCTTATTTGTTCTAAAGCCCAAATCAAGCAACAAAAGATTTAAAATTTAATTCCCTTTTTATCCTAAATTGTCTTTGCACGCAAAAGAAGCAGTAGAACACAATATACAAAAGTCCCTTCTTTTTGTCATTTTCCTTCAATTTCTAGTTATCCAGACAAAAAAACAAGAAAATTGGTATGATAGGAAAAAATTAAAAACATAAAACGAAGAAGCCATGTATCTCCCATAAACCAATCCACCCTCACATTTAACAACAAATCAATGCACTCTCTGGTGATCTACCATAAAAACCAATCAGCCAAGTGATAATTGATAAGTAAGAATATCACTAACACTGGAGATTAACATAAAAAAAGAATAGAAAAGTCATAAACTTCGGAAAAAAAAAAAACAGAGAGAGAGAGAAGAAGATCATTGAGACTTACTCATAATCAAGGCTTTCAATAGGGCAGGTATTGGCACCAACAATGGCAATCTGAGAAGTATTGTTCTTTCTATTCCTAACAAGAAATGGCTCTCTCAACATTGACATACTGTGTTCCTTATCATCATCTATCTCAAATTCATCCTGTTCTCTATGACCATGATCCTCCATTTTCAATCCTTTTTCTTCTTCTTCTTCTTCTTCCCTTGTCCTTCTCTCTCAAAGTTTCTCTGTCTTTGTACTTGTATTGGTAAATCAATTATATACAACAATATATACAAGGGCCAGTGGTAAATTTGTTTCCTTTTAAGCTGGATTTCGAAGTTCAAATTAGAACCATCAAGACCACCTTTTTCTCTTTTCTGAACAAATAAAAAGAAAGTTTGAGTTGTCCTATGATAAATGGGGCAGAGAAGCGTTTTTTTTATTTATTTATAGACACAAGACTTATGTTTTGTCATGTGATTTCCTCATTTTCCGTCCGTTAGTAAATCCTCAAATCCACCACGGCACCACTTACTCTGCTTCATCAACCTTTTTACAGACCAAATTCTATTATAATCAATCCATATTCAGATATTTTCGACCAAATTATATAGAAAAAATTGTAATTTTAGTCTTTATATTTTTATATTTTTTTTATTTGAATTTTTACAGTCATCTAAAAATATAAAATATTAATAGATTTAGAATGAATTATTACGTGATAATTAGAAAGAACAAATTATTTCATGATAATTAAAAAAAATGTCAAATAACAATTAAAAATGTTACTAAATTTTATGTGATATTTAATTTGTTGATGGGGCTACAAAAATCTAGAATTACTTGAAGTCATCAATGGTTATGGTGATTTTGAGTTAACCCAAGAAGCAAGGCAAGGGCACCCACCCAACCCCAAATTCAAAGAAAGAATGTGAATCTTACTTTGCTTTTTGGAGATTTTAGCTTTTAAAAGTCAAACTCAATAGTCACCACAAAAATTCAATTTCAAGTTCCCATTTTTTGTTTTTTTTATTATCTGTTTTATGCTCTTTTCTAATTTATTTTATTTTTTATTTTAAAAAATAAAATAAATAAATATTATAAAAATATTTACGAGAAGAGAAGATTTTTAAAAAAAAAAGTTATAAAACGCGAATGATGCTAGTTTTTTATAAAAAAAAATAATTATTAATTTTTGAAATAAAAAGAAGTAATTAATTTGTTCTTCAAAAGTAGGGACTAATTTATAATTTACTCTTCATTTGTTTTGGGCATCTAACAGGTCAGCTTTCTTGATGTTATAGATTTCCAGGTAGCTGGATGTCTTTGTCATCAATTATAGGCTTACGAAAGGACAGATTAGCAGCTTATTACCTTAATAAAATCCCAAAACCTTAGAATTTTAAGAAATTTGCACATGCTTAGGACAGCTTAGAAACAAAAAAGAATAATGGAATATTGGGCTAATCACGTGCAGATAGGGTTACAGGATAGGAGCCAGGTGCCCCTAATTTTGTAGGGTCCTCCTTTTAGAGAAACTTAAGCAAATCCTATTATATATATATCATTGTAAGCAAATGTTATTATGAGATAAAAAGTGTTAAGTTTTTTAAACTCAATCTTATCTTATCCATTAGCTCGTTCTGATGTCAACGATATTGCTGTTAAACATTTTATAATTCCGACTAAATTTAATTATTTCCAAGTATTAAATTTGGTAAACTAGTTTTTTTTTCAAAAAAAAAATATTTTTCTATTTATATATATATTTAAAAAAATATTTAGCTCATCAAAATTTTAAGTGGTGTGTTTTTCTAAAATATTCCTAATTGATGGTGGTTTCATGTCAAGTAGGATTGAATTACTAACGACTTTTGTACAAAAAGGTATTTTAAGAAATTATAAACAATAAAATATTGATAAAAGATAATAATTAATAACATCCTTAATCTATATAAAAAATAAAAAAGACAATCTTTTTGGAATCGATAGAGTATTTAAAATACAAAATTTAATTTTCTATTTTCGTTTTTTAATAACAAATAAAACATAATATTAATATTTGTAAGTCTAACAAGTTTGTTCGAGGATAAAAAGATATACTTTGTTTTTAAATTTTTTGAGTTTTAATCTTAGGTTCGTATTTAAAAAAATTTGTTAAATTTCTTTAAATGTAAAATGCCGTGCAAGTATGCACATGGTTGGTTTGAGAGAAAAAGACTTAATCGCTTAAATAAATAATATTAAGTTCGAGTTTTTATATATATAAAAAATTTATTGAATAATTGTGCTCGTTTTATTTATCGATTGAACGATGAAAGATTAATATGTATTATTGCGCAAGGAATGTATTAGAAATAAACAAAAAATGGTCATCTAGGAGGTATGATTGATGCATAATCCTATTCAAAGATACCTGTTACCATGGAATGAAAAAAAAAAAAAAATACACAGAAGTGTTGGCTTATTTTCTTTCTCAATAATTCGTGTATATATTATATAAGGACGAAAGTCCGGAAATCATGGCTCACCGCAATGCAGACAGAGAAAAACTAGGTGGCTAAGCATGGAAGGGGGACCATCTACCCTCAATGACCTAATCATTTCCAACTCGATCCAGCCTAAGGAAGTGCAAAGGCCACTTCTTGTTGTCCCTCGAATGACGCATCATCTTCCTGCTAAACTACTTTAACCTTAATGCGATCTAGCCACTTCACGAATTTGTCTGAACAATCAAATTATAGGTGCCAAAAAGAGGTATGGAGAAGGAGAACAAATATCCTTCAAGATCGAAATGCCTACGGTCATTCTTTTTCATTATTCGGAAGCTAAATGAATTTATTGGATTACATAATAAAAATAGCCCTTCCTGTTACATAATTATTAAAAAAAATTAGAATCATCAAAATTCGAATCTTATTTTATTTAAAAAAACTTAATTAAGTAAACAATTATTAATATCATCCTTCAAATTATCATTTTTTTCTTGAATTGACTATTATATTGTTTGTCAACTTGGGTTAAATCCATTTCTTTGGGTAGGTGAAAAACGATCCCATCAATGCCACCTATTTAGCAGAACAATTCATCCTTGTAAATATCCCTAGAGTTTTTTTTTTTGAAGAAAAAAAAATTAGCCCTTAAATCCAAACTCCATTTTACAATGATTTTTTTTTTAATTGTTACAAAGATGAAAAAAACTCTTGAAAATGTATTCTCATTCTTGCAAATCCAATTATATCTATAATTTTTCTCTCGCATAAGTAAATTCAAGACGTAAAAATTTATCTTCTTTGAAAAAAAAATCTTTGATTTGCTCATTTGATGACAGGATAATTTCGAACTAGTTTGTCAATTAATTTTTTTTTCTGGAATAAATTTAGAAACATATTTTATATAAATCTAAAGCAATTGAGTCCAAGATTCCATTTTAAAAAATCAAGGAAAGAAACATTTCCTTTAAAAAAAAATTGAAATAAAGACAACCGGACAAATTATTGGGGTTGCATGAATAAAATATTGGGGTAGCATTTATTCTGTGGGATTAGCCAACATACTCTGTTTGGTCAGAACAGTCTGCTTCAAAAATTTCAACTTTGCCAATGATAAGGAGCCAACACTAACAATCCCAGATTCTGCTGGATCCAACCATGTGTTTCGTTTTTGGGATCGGGAGCTTATTCCTTTTTGTAATGATTGTCATCTACAGTTCTTCTTCTTGTTGTACTAGATGAAGAAAAACTAAAAAATTGGCTTTTTTCTGGAAAACAAAACACAGAGAAAAATGCTATAAATATTTTAATATTATTTTTATGGTCAGTATATATTTATTTGATCAATTTCTACATCAATCAAGATTAAGTATATTATTTTTTAAATTAAACTAATGTAAGAGTATATTTAATTTAGGTTTTGCATATATCAAGATTTCGTATAATTTGAATTTTTTAATTAAGATTAAATTTTTTTTTCATTCCAATTTAAGAGTTCTAATTTTATATTATTAGTATTTCAGTCCTTAATATGTCTCGTAAGCACATCCGGCAAGCTCTAGTCAATGACAACTTACCACTTGTTATGATAAGCTCAAATTGTATGATTGAACTGGTGACATGGGAAGTCATTATCGATTAAAAATTATCACGTATGTTTACGTGGTAAATTGTCATTTGTTAGGATATAAAACAATAATAATATAAGAATAGAACTTTTAAATTAGATAAAAAAAAATTTTGAGATCTCAATAAAAAAATTCGAATTATGTAAAATCTTATGCGTAAAATCATATTTAATTTTTTATCGACTTTTAACCTACTTTGTAGACGAAAACAAAATCTAAATATGAAGCTATTAAAATAATTATATATTAATTTTAATCAATTCAAAAAAATCTTTTACAACTAGGACACGTCTCTAATATCGTTATCATTTAGAAAACGATGATGGCCTAATATTGTTTTTAAATTAGGTATTGATGTAATAATAGCGACCGACTATTTTTATTTTATAGGGAAACACGAACTTGTGTGATTCTCTCATGCCAGCACAAGCAGTGGCAGTCTATTGACAACAATTGAAATGCGAAAACTATTTTTTCAAATCCTACCCTACTAGGCTACCACGATTGAGAAAATAAATTAATGTTGGAAATTAGGATAAGATACTTCGAAAAAAGAATAAAGAAACCTGATCTATGGCATCATTTCCCATGTTTTCGTTTGGAATTTGACTTCTGAAGAATGAAGATGTAACGTCCTAGTGTAAATAATTTTTCAAAATTTTATAAAAAAAGGTTTACAGGAAATCTACTAATATAACTTTTATATATTACATTATTTATTAATCACTATATAAAAAAAATAAAAAAAATGATGAGTTACTATTTATTGTACTATTTAAAATACTTTTCATCTAAATTTATTTGTGCTATTCATTTAGATTCGGATGCACTGTTTTTTTTCACTATGTTATAATATTTTTATAATTTTCAAACACTTTAAATAAATTTATTATGAAAGTTTTCGTGATATTACACTTTGATCCTTTTTTTAATTTGTAAATATTTTTATTTCATGTTGGTCTCTTTTTTTCATTTTGATCACTTTAGTCCTTTCTCTCTCTTTTTTTTATTAAAATTTTTTAAGGCAAAAAAATAATTTACAAAAATAATTTTTTAATTAAGAATCAATTGATTTTGACATTTTTATACTATTATAAATTTTTTAATTTGGGATAGAGATAAATAATTAATGTTTCAAAAATTTATGAAAAATATAAAGAATAATCGAGTTAAATCCAAAATTTTAATTAAAAAATTATAAAATTGAATGAATTTTTATTCAGTTTTGATTTATTTGATCCAAGTTTTACATCAATCAAGATTAAGTATATTATTTTTTAAATTAAACTAGTGTCGAATATATTTAATTTGGGTTTTGCACATATTGAAACTTTGTACAACTCGATTTTTTTAATCAAGACTTTAAGTTTTTTTTCTTTTTAATTTAAGAATTCTACTCTTATATTATTATTGTTTCAAATTTTAATATGTCACGTAAGCACACGTGGCAAGTTGAACAAGCTATAGCCAATGACAACTTGTCACGTGTCATGGTGAATTTAAATTGCGTAGTTGAATTGATGACGTGATAAGTTATTAGTGGCTAGAAGTTGTCACGTATACTTACATAATAAGTTGTCATTAGTTAGGGTATGAAATAACAACAATATAAGAGTAAAACTCTTAAATTGGATAGAAAAAAATTTATAATCTAAATAAAAAAATTCAAATCATACAAAATCTTATGCATAAAACCCTATTTAATTTTTTGTCAACTTTTAACCTACTTTGCAGACCAAAACAAAATTCAAATACGATATTATTAAAATAATTTTATATTAATTTTAATCATTTCAAAACAATCTTTTACGACTTGCCCACATATCTAATGTCGTATCGTTTAAAAAAGGACGATGGCTTGATATTATTTTTAAATTAGGCATTGATATAATAACAGTGACCGACTATTTTTATTTTATAGGAACCACGAACTTGTGTGGTTCTCTCATTACAGCACAAGTAGTGGTAGTCTATTGACATCAATTGAAATGCGAAAACTATTTTTTTAAATCCTACCATATTAATATTGGCATTTAGGAGAAGCTATTTCCAAAAAAGAATAAAGAAACCTAATACATGGCATCATTTCCCATGTTTTCGTTTGGAATCTGACGTCTGAAGAATGAAGATGTAACGTCCTAATGCAGATAACTTTTTAAAATTTAATAAAAATAGATTTATAGGAAATCTACTAACATAAATTTTATACGTTACATTATTTATTAATTATATCTTTCTATAAAAAATGAACCAATTAACAAAAAAATAAAGTAAAATGATAAATTACTATTTATTGTATTATTTAAAATATTATTCACCTAGATTCATTTGGATTATTCATCAAGATTCAAATGTATTTTTTTTATCATGCAGTGATTTTTTTTATATAATTTAAACATTTTAAAGATATTTATTATGAAAGTCTCGGTGACATTACACTCTATTCCTTATTTTTTAATTCACAAATATTTTTATTTCATTTGATCTCTTTTTTTTCATTTTGATCACTTTGGTCCCTTCTTTTTTTTTCTCTATTTTTATAATTTAAAATTTTAAAGAAAAAAATATTTTAAAAAATAATTTATAAAATAAGTTTTTAGCTAAGAATCCATTTATTTTTACATTTTTTATACTATTATAAATTTTTTAATTTATGGATAAAGATAAATAAATAATGTTTTGAAAATTTATGAAAAATATAAAGAATAATTAGTCAAATCCAAAATTTTAATTAAAAAATTATAAAACTGAATGAATTTTTATTCAGTTTTGATTTGATATATTCTAGTATATGCATAATATCACGAGAGAACATCATACTAAAATAATTTTTTAAAACTAATTTTACGTGTTTTATCCGCGCCGTAGCATAATGCAAGCAAAAAAAAAATAGTTATCTAATTGACAAAAGTTAATGAGTGCGCTTAAGACATTCGTTAAGTATTATCTAAATACATTTATTTTAATTCATTTAGTTGTTTTGTGATAAAAAAAAAAAGCCATGTTAATGTTAATGATAATGATTTAGTTGAATGTCCACCCATCTATTCCCCAATTATGATATTTTTGCTTCTATTTTTTTTTTTTTTAACTCACACACCCAACACATTCTCAAGGTCCAACAGAATTTGTTTTTTATAATTTGAACTCATTACCTCTATTGAGACCGATATCACTAAATTTCAAGCTTTTTGGTTTTCCCAATTAGGGTTTACTCAGTGCTTTGCTGGAAGGTGACATGCTCCCATGTTAATTGTCCAACGCCTTTTGCCACCCATGACCCGTTCATAACGTGCCATTAAAATAGTACCATCACGCCAAATGCATCCAGCCTTTAGCATGATTTTTATTTTATTTTTAATAATTTTTTCTCGTAGTTCAATGGCAGAGTATTTCTTCGTACACCGATGCACTTTTCACATCGACATGACGCATCCAGAAGAATATGCATATTTGACTTCAAGATTCAAACTTTTTTAACCACCGAACCTACTCGAAGTAGAGAAACTTTACGATTTGACGCTGATTTTTTAAAAACATAGAGAAAGAACATAAAAAAGAGAAAAATATAATTTGAGCCTCCAATTATTAAAAAAATAAAAAAATCATAACACTTTATAAAAGTTAATAGCTGGCAATTATTAAAAAAAAAATCAAAATTAATTATTATTAGCCGATTAGACTCGAGAAATTTGCTAATAAATAAATAAATAAATAAATATAGACCAATGATCAACATTTATGTTTACATTAATGTAGGTCAAGCTTTACAAGACTAATGAAATTGACTGCAAGGTTTCTTATACCAAGTAGGAGGACATGAGCTTCCAGCTAATTTTCATGTGGGAAGGCATCGATGCCACAAACCGAAGAAGGTCAGGCCTAGTGCTAAGTGCAGGATGCACATTTTCTAACTTCCCATCCAAAACATTAAGGAATTTTGCAAGGTTTGGGAGCACAAGCTCCCTACAATGGAGATGCAGTAAAGGGACTTTTGACAGGACACTTCCCTTCTGAATATCTACGCCTTCTGGCCACCGCAACTTGTATGGTTTCCCAGAAGACTGTTCAATATCAACTTGGGGCATTTGCTTCCATCTCTGGTGCACAAACCACCCATATTTATAGTCACCAACAATTGGAGTTCCGAGAGCTTCCGCACAATGAACGCGGAGCTGTATACAGAAGAGAATCAGAAATTCTTCAGATGTATGACGATGACACTTCATTCTTTATTAAATATTTAAAAAATAATGTACAGAAATAAGTGGAACTATTATGGTTCTGAATGCTGATGCAAATCGCCATAGCAAAAGAAAGTTGTCAGGCATTCTATCTCACACAAGTCCACATATTTGGTTGGTTTCAATATTGTAGGTACTGACATTACAAACAAAGTCTTTGACACCGCTAAATTGCTTCCTTATGGTTTGCTATTGCAATTGCAAGTAAAATTAAGCAATGCACATGAAAAATTAAAATGTGATGAACGTGATGAATAAATTGTTCTGATAAAAGAGAAACAGTAATGATGAAAATCAACCAGAATATAACGATTGTTCTTTGAGAATTCGTTCTTATTATGCCTCTAGGCTCAAGGTGAAAACCATAAGATATTTTCTGGGTGTGCCCTTGTGCCAACTAACATCTGCAAACAGCTATTGTGTGCAAACACAGCATGAATTGCATCAGATACAAGAGTGCCTTTGTGCCATCAGAAACCAAACACCTTAATACACTTAGTAGCCAACACATCATGCCTTTTCTACCACTTTTGAATTTAATAACCCAAATGCTATTCTGTTTAGTCTTTTGTCCATGTGTTGGCATCATGATAATTGTCCTCAGCTCCCTTATCTGGTGAAGATGGGGTTTCATCACCTTGTTTTCTTCTCTCTTTGAGCAAAAAAATTAATTTGAGATCTATCCTAAATCAATTCACCAATTTTGGGAATTGGGATAAACAACTTCCATCTTTAAATTTCCACTCACCCTCCGCCCATGATTTGGAACAAAGGGTGTAAGAAGCTTTACTCCAAGTACTCAGTAAGAGGCTTACCTGATGCTTTCGACTTGTAAGTGGACGCAATTCTATCCATGAGCATCCATTTATTGTAGGACCTAAGACTCGATATTCAGTTACAGCCTCTTGGGATGGTTCCAAACTTGAATGCTGGGCCAAAACAACTCTCTCTGTCTTCCCATCATCAAGAAGCACCTACAATCAGTAACAAGAGGTACACAATCACAAGGTCAAGCACTTGGATGCCATAAGATTCCATCTGCAGTTTCCAAAGTGATTCTGCACACATGTGCATGTGCAAACACACACAGAACACACCAAGAGAGAAAGAACCTTAGAAAGACGTGTACAAACTAAGCCTTCCTTGTCCTTTGGAGAGCCTATAACCAATGCCCAGTATCGTTGATATGTTGCTTCACATGCATCATTCCACGCCTAAAATTTCCCCAAGAATATCATAGCAAAGAAAAAGATGTAGTCATTAAGCCATCTGCCATATTGGGTTCTGTAAGCTGCATTCACTGCCCTCATGGTGTATGAACATAAATACCTGGCACTTGGATTGTGCTTTATTTATGTAACTAAATAACCACTGGAGATGAGCTACACTTTCTTTTGTTCTACCCATTAAGAGGAGGCCACTGCTCTCTCTGTCTAGTCGGTGCACCTGATAAAAGCATAAGAAAACATATCTACATTTAGAAAATTTATGATGATTGCCAGTGATTCAACAACAAATTCAAGGCCGGAATTAGCCTCATCATGCAATAGGCAAGGTTTAACACCAAATCCAGAGTCTAAAACCAAAGAAAATAAAATGTCCACCATTTATCTCCCTCCAAAATGTTTCTTGGATTCATATGCCATTTCATACTGCCTCAACAATGTTCACGAAATTTAAGTGCATATAAATTAATATAATATAAAGTAAATATATAAATATGAGCATGCATGTATATAGAATACGATAGTCATTGAAAAACTTCTAGTACATAAAAGGGGACCACTGGTTTTCTTATTTTATCAATCAAGATGACAAATTTCTTTCCAGCAGCCCTTTTTTGATATATCATTTATTTATTCTTTAACCAGCGTAACATAGGCAAAAAAGTACTCCTTAAGTTTCAATAAGGAGAGCTTGCGTCTGAACAGAAATTTGTTTTAGCATTTTGATGACAAGGAAAAGGAGGAATGCAAAAATTCCCTTATAGGGCTGATAAATGAAAAAAGATGCTCAACTACCCAATAGTTAGAGGGGGATGGTGGGGGTGGGTGGGTGGGGAGGGGGGAAGAGGGGATGAAAATTGGAAGAAACTCAAAAGGAACTACATACTTAAGCAGAAGCACTACAGACACAAGCAAGAGCGAGAGAATTCTAACTTTAAATACAACTTACAGTCAACCTTGGTACCGTAAATACACGTATTGTCAGTCCTCTAAAAACCTCAAGGCAGGAAGGTTAGCTATCCATTGAAAATAAAACGCATCAGTTCATTTGTTTAAACAATATTACATAGGAATTAGCTAAATTCTATTATCTTTTCATGTGCAGTGTCGGATTCCTAAACTATTAATACATGGAACTGTATGGCTTCTGATCTAAGAAATACAACCACACCTGCCAAATATTCATCCGAGTGTTGCCTACTAGTCCTCAAATTTGCAAAAATACCCACATAAATAAACATGAGAAACTGAAATATAAGGTCACAGATTGATATAAATAAATGACTAGATGAACACAATTATCTAGAACTAGAAGCATACCAATTTAGGACCCTCATCATGACCATAAGACAAAGCTGCAGCTGCCAATGCATCCATGCTATTGTGAACCGGCATATTCCCCTAAAGCCATTGGGATATGGAAAGAAATCAATGGCAACAAAATATGCCAAGACAACCCAGAATTAAAGAAAATAACGGGAGTACAGATTCTAACCTTGACTGGAACCTTTGGTGGCTTATTTAGCACGAGTAGAGCAGAGTCCTAAAAATTAAACAGCCAATAATTTAAAAAAAAAAAAAGCAGAAACATACTGCGAAAAAGACCACAAATGCAACAAAACATCTCTGTTTATGGGATCAACCAACCGAAAAGCAGAATAGGCAAAACATTCAGACGTTTTAGCACAATCATAAGAAGCACAAAACTGAACAAATACAAGGCAGTTACCCCATATAAACCATGCTCGGTGTTTAACAAGTTAGGATCAGAACTACTTGTTTGCACACTAAAACAACATGAAGAGACAGAAAAGCAGTCAAGTTAAACATGCCTTGTACTTGACAAGCCTTTGCAAATACTCTATCTCATCAGCATTTGGGTATAGAGTTCCACTTGGTATGGTGTCAAACCTCTTGGAAATTGCAGTCTCAGCAACAGATACAGGTATATGAATCCTGGCCCCAACTTCCATGACATCACTTGGCTTAATCTGCACACAAGCTGTGTTGTAGAACATTACGCTCACATGGAATAAAAAAAATCACCAAAAACTTTCTTTTATAATCTGATATTTTGACAATTGAACACCGAAATTTAAGTTGAGGAAACATACCTTTCTCATGGGTTTTGCGAGTCCTTCCTTTTCAACAGAATCACTAGAACTTGGGCACTCTATTTGAACCTAAAAGAAGGCAATAAATCAATATACCAACAAAGAAAAGCAAATCTTTCACCAAAGAACTTGTCAATGCATAGATAAATACTCACAAGGGACTTATTAAAATGAGACTGAATGACAGAATCAGGGATTTCATCAAAATAATACTTGACCCAGCTGATAGCAGTGACATGAGAAGTATTAACAGACTTCTTTCCAGGCAAAGGAAAACCAGGAAATGGAGGCAAGGAAAGGAGCTGGCGAGGTTTTGGCCCTTCTTTTGGAGAACCCAGTTTCGCTACATTCTTGGTCACTCTGATGACTTGAGGATGTGGAGGTGCAATTCTTGAAAACTGTCTAGCCCCAAATGACACTAACACTCTCTGTCTCACCATTGTTTTCTTCTTCTACTCCTTTACACAGTGCTTAAGCCCAGAAGAGGAACATGAACATGATTTACCATTTCTTTACCTCTTTTTTTTTTTTCCCCTCCTTTTTCATGTAACGAATCAAACTTTGTATTTCATCTGAAGACAATTTTATGCAAGACTCTATCAAAACCCTAAAACCCTGTTATTTAAGAAAGGAAATTAATATTGACTTTCTGAGCAACATGGCGAGTAAATTATAAATTAGTCCCTCGATTTTTTGAAAAATAAAATTTTAATCTTTTTATAAATAATTATTTAATTTCTTAATCAACAATTACCATATTTAATTTAATATTATTTTATTTTATAAAATTATTTTTTATCGATTATTTCATATTTTTTAATTTTTTAAAAATAAAAATAAAAAAATTGAAAAAATAAAAAAAAATGTTTAACAAATATAAATTTTATTTTTTCTTGAAAAATAAAAATTATTCTGCCATTAAATTATTCAAAAATTTTAATGATTGAATATTGTTGAAATTATTTTTATATTTGAAGATTTTTATCTTTTCCAAAACATTAAAGGTCATTTTAGATATTCTATCATAGAAGTTGAAAGAAAGAAAGCGAGGGACTTAATTTAGAAAAGTAAATTAATTTATTCTTATATAATTTATACCTTCAATTAATGAAATTTTATCCTTATAGATTATTAAACTATTATCTTATTAATTTTTTTCATCTAATTTAACAACGATACTAGGCATTTCTTTTCTTCAGAACCTCTCTCTCTCTCTCTCTGCTCATGATCCCTATGTCAATATTATATTGAAATATGAAATGAAAAAAAGAAAAGAAAAGGAAAACAATGCATCCTCTCTTTGATTTAAATTAATTATAATTTATTCTAATAAATAATAATATATACTAACACATACAAATTAATTTATTTTTATAATTATATTTTTTTCCTTCTACGTCGGTCGCATCTTTTGAATTCCCAAAACGCACAGCTTCATTCTTCTCCGCGGGCACACTATGTAACTCTCGCGCTATCTCTATTAAGTTTGAATCCTTGCGTTTTCTCACCGCAATTCTTTCTTGTGGGAAGCGATCAATTCTTCCTTCCTTCCTCTCTTTCATCTGTGTTTAAGAAAACAATCAATCAATACCTTGAAAGAGAGATGGATCGTTGTAGAAAGAGGAAGATGGGCGGTTTTGATGGGACTTGTACTTGAACGAAAAGAAACAGATGTTTCTTTGAAGATGAGAATGTGTCAACCGATGAGTTGAGTAAATGGCTCAACGACACCATCAATAACATGGATTCTGTTAATACTAGAGAGGCAGCTTTGGAATTGAAGATGAGTGTGGATAGGGTTAAGCAGATTATCATCTCCAGGCTGTCAAACATTACTACTGCCGCTTAATCTTTTTATTGAATTGAAGGTATATTGATTCTATTTTGAGATTTTTAACATCTGGGTTTATCTTTATATTCTAATAATTCACGGGATCTTGATGAAATTTAGTATTTTTTTTTCCATATTAGCTTTTGGGTCTGTTTCATATGCTTGATAACCGTGTTTCTTTTCTTTTCTTGTATTCAATTATGCCTTTTTTTGTAGGGTTCAGAAAGTTAAAAGTGATACTCCATTAAACCGTGATTCTTTAAAAAGTGTTCATGTGTCAATTTCGCAAAAGTTGATAATAAATTTGGCAAAGCTGATATTGGTCGCTTTAAAGGAAGATTTCGAGAATCTTTGGTTAATTATTCCTTGGATTGCAAGTGCATTATACTCAACTATGAATCTGTTGATGTTAGTTAGCGACAATTGGGATGATAATAGCCAGTGACTACTCTTTTACACTTGTTTACTTTCTACATTTTCATAAAGTACTTGTAACTATTTGTTATTTGCATCACTAATTTTACAAATTCATCTTTCAACTGAACTTACGTTATTGACACTGATTGATCTTTATTCTCAATTAGCTTTCTATAATTTAAGATTATCTGTATCTTTCCGTGTCTGATTGTTTGAATGAAATAACTGGAGGATCCTGCATGACATCACCACAATGCCCTTTTGACCTTTCATTGCATTTGCAAGCCTCCTATGTCTTTTACAGTGCATTTCTTACCCCCTTATCAGTGCCTCACCATAGGTTGCGCTGGAAACTTCAAGAATTTCAAGTCTTGCCTCCCTCTTTGCCAACACCAATGTTGATGCCATCGACAACCCGTTGAGCTCTAGCAGTGAAAAGGAATTTGACTTGCCCACCATTGAGTATTCTTTGTTGCTATTTACTGCCAGCACGGTTACTTATGGTATTGCTGTGCTGGGGTCTTTTATAGGCATCCTGGAAGTGCCTGTCCACAAAGGACAGCATCAGGCACTTGTATGCACTTCTCTTATCCAAAGCATATAAATAAAGTGTGTGTGGTGATAGGCTGCACTTCAAGGCTGCCATGATTTTGCATCTTCCTGTCTATCTGCATCAACTCATTCATATTGACCCTGCCTTAGTGCATGCATTTTGCACATCCTAAGGTCTGCAGAGGGGGTTTTAGTGTCCCGAAACCAACAAATTGATCTCAAGTTCGAAAGGCATGTTATAAGGCCTTGGTTCCCTGACCTGCTTGTTTCAATTCAGCCGCTGCTGTTTCAACCTCCTCGTCTTCTTCTTGATTTGTTTCATCAACTGAGTCATCTGCCTCAGTGATTCTTCAAATTCTTCATTTTTCAAAGTCTCAGATGCCACCGTAGCTTTCAGTTTGGCTATGGTAACTCCAGAAGCAGGACCTATGCCACTACCCTTCCAGAGGAAAGGTTTTGACTGCACATTCTTTGAGTATTTGTCACATGGGATCTGCTCAGTCTGCTCTTTATCAAATTTCAACAGTGTACAAACAACAACATCTGAGTTTAATGGGGGCAAATCCTTAAACTAAATAGGACCAGCTGAGCTTTACCGCAAGGACTGAGACTGTTGGTTATTTTCTTCCTTGGCAAGAGGTATCTCTTCACAGGAGCTCTTTCTGCAGGCATAGGCTATCACCTGCGAGCGATTTGCTGCTTTGCTACTCCAGAAATGGGTTTTGTCTTCTCTTTTCCGAAATCAGAGAAGTTCAGAACAAACAGTGCAAGAGGATTTCTGCCTCCCGGAACTTGGTTCGGAAAGTTTTAATGGTGACTGAGGAACTGGTGCTACTATGGTGCGAGGGGTGGATGAAGACAATTTTCTGTTCAGTAAGATCTTGTTTCGAGAGCTTCTGGAAGCAATGCCCCCTAAAGATGCTTGGCTGAATGATCTGTCTTCTCCACAATAATTCTGTCCTGGAAACTCAGAAAGCTTCATCCTCTTCACTTAGAATGAAATCTACTGCAGTGGTAAAAAGAGAACCTTACAAAGGAAGCTTTGAAATTCCAATAGGAAAAGAACAAAAATCTAACCAGGTTCTGTGGCAATGAAAGTAATAATTTTGTTCTTGATATTGGTCATGATCAATAAGGTGTTTTTTCGTTTATGTTAGTCATCTTTTCATCCTTTCTTCAAGTCTGTAAATTTACATGAAACCAGAACGGATGCAATTGGTATGATTATGTCACATATATTTTCTCTTCCTATAGCATGCAAGAACATCATACTATTCATTGTCGTATTGTACTCGAATTGGATCTAGTATACCTGTAGACCTTCATCTGAAAGAAAAGGGGATATGTTGTCTTCTAATATCTATAATTGAAACATGTTTACCATGAAGCTCATTGTGCTTCTTGATTAAGAATTTTTTTTTCCAGTACTTTGGAATTATCAAATATATCCAAATTTAGTGGGCTGCAACATTGTTGAGCATGAATTCATTGGCTCACCAATCTATGTTTTTCTTGAGTGAATTCACCAATGTGATTGGCTTTTTGGCTGTGCAAGTTTGTTTTTACTTCTATTTCTTGTTCATTTGTCTCGTTTTCATGAGCTGAACTTGACCTAAAAAAATTTGGGATATGTACTTTATAAGTAATCATCTTTTAATGTTTTTCAATCCAATAAATAAATCTTCATTTTTTATTGGAGTACGTCAATTTCTTAGTAATTACTAATTAAATGTTTTTTGTTCAATTTCTATCAATGCTCCTTTATCTCATGATATGTTCCTTTTCTTGTATTACTAAATTACGATTTTGTATTTTCATTCTTGTAGAGAATTTTTCTTTAAATTATTTTGTTTTTTAATAGTAAATACTTAAATTATTTTTATATCAAAAAATAGAAAAAGACATTAATTTGGGAGGGGAAATTCCCTACAATATTGAAAGAGTAAAATCGTAATTTAGTAGTCTCGGGTTAAAGAATACATCACTAAATAACGAAACAATTGATATAAGTTGGATATAAATATTTAATTGATAGTTTAAAAAAAAACGGTTGAATATAAATATTTAATTGATAATTTTAAAAAAATCGGTGTATTAAAAAAAATAATAATAATCAAAATTTGGTTGAAAAAAATTAAAAAATTAGTATATTTATAGTGTAATTATTGTTATTTTTTTTTTAATGAGTGAATGAATGATTGATTAAAAATCTGAGAAGATGAAGTTGAAGAGACTTTTTTCTAGGAAAGAGAGAGCATTAATACTCATCTTTATCCTTAATGATGATTTATTAGGACGTTCATGAACGTACATTTAATTAGAAACGTGTTGTTTATTCGATATTTTACATAAATTAAAAAATTTATTAATTATTATGTCATATTAAAATTTTGATTCGTACTTTTCTTTTATATATATATATATATATATATATATTGTATTTAAATATTTTTTTAAAAAAATGAACTTTAATTATAAATACTTTAAGAAAATATATCACTTAAATTTTATCAAGATAAATATTTTATGACATATATAAATAGAAAGATATACAAAATAGACAAAATAAACAATCTCTTTATTACATGTATTTGTATGGAAATTTTGTATAATTTATTTATAAATATAATTGTATTCTTAAAATGCTATTCTTTTTAGGGAAAAAAACCCGTTATATACTCTTTGTTTATCTTCTAATTTTTAGTATTTTTTTTTATAAACTTTATATTTTAGTTGTATTCCAAATTATATCTACCGTTCTTTTTAAGAAATTAATCTATCGCATTAAATAATAACTTTAATTAGTTTTGGAAAAAACCTTTTTTTTCAAAAGTTTTGATAATAGAGTATAATATTTGTTTTCAAAGATTTAAAAATAAAAACGAGAACGTGACAGTTTGTTTGAACAGGGCAAAATGGGTAAACCGTTTCTAACCCTATTAACCGTAATAACTTACAAATATAAACAGTGCACAACAGAAAAACACAACTGTCTGTCGTTTTTGTCCTTCTCTCTCTCTTCCTCTCTTACCTTGTACTTTTTCTTGTTTTGTTCTTTCTTTCTCTCTCCAGTCTCCACCAATACAATTACAGCAAACACTCAGATTCTGATTCTCCGGTCCCTTTCTCTCTCTTAAACGACCCTTCGTTTTCATTCTCGTTCCTCAACAACACTACCCTCTAAAATAACACCTACCTATAAATCTCCCTCTCAATCTCTCTGTGTTGGTGACTTGATTTGAGGTGTTGAATTGTTTCTTTTTCTAGTGATTTTGATTCTTTTGCTTTTATTTGACTTTCACTTTGGGTCGATCTTAAAGATCTATTTTTTTTCCTTTTGTTTTCCTTTGATCTTCCAGCGCTTGTTTCAATTTTTGCGCTAATTTTATAACCCAGGTCAATTTCTTGATTTCTTCGATTTTTGGGGTTTGATCAGTATTCTAGTGGTGGGTTTTCCTTGTTTTGTTTCAACATCACGGAAAGTTATGGTTTTTGGATCGTTTGTTGATGAATTTTTGCAATGAAAGAGTTCAACTTTGATTGAGGAAGGAAAGAATAAGGAGATTTTTGGGAATCGGTACTTGGGGTTTGGTTTATTGAATGAAAAGGTGGATAGAAAGGGCTGTAGATGGCAAGAAACAGAGGGGATAAAGAAGATGCATCAGAAAGGCACATGGGGTTGCTTAAACTGGTTCAGATATTGTCGTTGTTGGTTATTTTTGTTGCTGGTATAATTATAGGCTTAGCTGCAAGTTCTCACATCAATCAATACTTTACTTCGCAAGCACAGCTATTTTTCACTAACAACATTGCTTCAGCTAGGATCTCTGATGAGAATTGTACTATTGTGAAGCCTTGTGAGAAGGCTGATTGTTTGAGTATGGAGAGGTTTGTTCATCCAGACAACTTGACACATAGTATGACCGATGATCAGGTCTTTTGGAGGGCTTCTATGTTGCCGTATAAGAAAGGGTATCCCTTTGATAGAATTCCTAAAGTTGCTTTCATGTTTTTGACTAGAGGGCCTTTGCCTCTGTTGCCTTTGTGGGAGAGGTTCTTTAGGGGTCATGAACAGTATTTCTCCATTTATGTCCATACTCCCCAAGATTATGTGTTCAATGTTTCCATTGATTCGTCATTCTACGGAAGAAAGATTCCAAGTAAGGTACGAACCAAAACCAAAACCAGATGGTTTTAATTTATGGTATCTGTTTATTGTTGCTTATTCTGATATCTATTAGCAATGTAGTTGAAATTGCCATGAATGAATGCTTGAGATTTAATATCTTTCTAAATTGAGTTGGATAGGTTTATATTAGGCTATGAGGGGTGCATGGGCGTAGGTGAGCAGATTGGTGATTAGTATTTTCTGGAGAAAGCTTGTTGATGATTTTCTTTCACAATTTCTCTCTGTCAACCTTCTCATTTAGGCTTCTTCTCATTGTTCTAGTGTTGTAATTTTCCACTATTTTGAAATGGTTGATGGAGTTTTACTTCTGGAAATAATTTGATGGCCTATCATAAGATGCATTCTTACCTAAAAATATTAATGGTTGATGGTTGTTTTTTGATGATGAACTCTTGTGGTTAACTGGAAACAATTGTTTGTAAGGACTAACTAGCTGGTTTTGTGAGGCTTATTAGCTTTGTGTCATCTTTCAACAGAGCATTGCCTTTGTTTGTTTGGCAAAGGCACCGATGTTCTCTCCCATGCCCTCTTTGTATTGGTAGAAGTGATGTCTCCTATGATTTGCTTTTGTATTTGCTGATGAAGCTATTCATTTTTCCTCTGTCCAGGATGTTGAATGGGGATCAGTATCATTGGTTGATGCTGAGAAGCGCCTTCTAGCCAATGCCCTGCTGGATTTCTCAAATGAACGTTTCATTCTCCTTTCTGAGAGCTGCATCCCAATCTACAATTTCCCGACTGTCTACAAGTATCTCATTCGTTCAAAATACAGCTTTGTTGAGTCATATGATGAACCCACCCGCTATGGACGTGGCCGCTACAACCGGAAAATGCTTCCTGATATTCATCTGTATCAATGGAGGAAAGGGTCGCAATGGTTTGAGATCCAACGCGACCTGGCTGTTTATATAGTTTCAGACACCAAGTACTACACTGTCTTCAAGAAATATTGCAGGCCTGCTTGCTATCCCGACGAGCATTACATTCCTACTTACCTGAACATGTTCCATGGGTCGCTTAATGCGAATCGAAGCGTGACATGGGTTGATTGGTCTATTGGGGGACCGCACCCTGCAACATATGGTGGTGTTAATATTACAGAAGACTTTATACAGTCCCTTCGGAATAATGGGACACAATGTTCCTATAATTCAGAGATGACATCTGTTTGTTACCTCTTTGCTCGGAAGTTCGCTCCAAGTGCACTGATTCCGTTGCTTAACCTAACCTCGACGGTAATGGAATTTTAATTCTCCTTTTCGTATCTTGGCAGAGGTAAGATATCATTTCTGTAGTGCTTTTAGTCACAGGTAGGGCTGCTGTCACAGCTCTCCAAAACGTTTTGGTTTGGGGCCGTTGTACAGTTAGTTTTCTTAGGGCATCAGTGTTCTTTACCATTGAGGCAATTACTGTTTGTTTCACATTTTAGACACAGCTTTTCAAAGAAAAGCAAAAATACTGAAGAGGAATACTTTTTTCTGCATTTAGTTTGACAATGAAGCGAAAGGCATGATTGAATAATGAATGATCTCTTAATGCTCAAATGAACTAGCTCTTCGTTGCATATGTAAACAGCAGGGATGCATGCGTACACATGGTTTTGGTGCTCTAGACACAGAATGGTTAGCACCCTCGGATGGTTTGGATCCATGTGGGACCCGCTGATGTCCACCTATCCAAGGGTCGTAGATTTTGGCAAACCTGTTCGGTGCCTCTTTTTTTTTTTTAATTACAATTATTGGATTTAGTTTATGGACTTTTTTAGACGTGTTTGAATTCACCAAACAAAGCCACCTATTTTTTAGACTTTTTTTACAAATTTTAGAATGGAGACAAACGAGTTCAATTCACCAACAAAGCCACCTATTTTTTTTTAAGATTGTGTGAGATTTGGGCAAACCTTATCCTTGTAGTTGAAGTAAACCATCATTTCGAAAACAAACGTTTACCTACAGCATAGACTATGGTTACAAAAAATTTTATAATATTTAAAGAGTAATTAATAGTATGTATGGTAGTTATTATTTAAATTCGTTTTGAAAAGAGACATAGACACGTAAAAAAGAAAGAAAATTATATCTGAATATATCAGGTTTGATCATTATCTTAAGAGCAAACGTCAAATTAGTTACTTAACTATACACTTATTCTCAATTAACTCCCTAAACAATTTTGTCTTTCAATTAATTGTATATTTGTATGTATGGGGTTAAAGGTGCTCTGGTTGCGCGACAATTTCATTATGAGTACGCCAATTTTTAATTTTTTTTAATCGTATATATGAGTTTTTATTTTTATTTTATTTGAATATATTTATTTTTTCAAAACTATCAATCGAGTACTTTTGTCATTTTTTCTGTTAATTGATGATGTGTCTTATATTTTTAGAATACAAAATTATAATTTAAGCCTTGTTCTCAATGCAGTAAATGAATTTTAATTTTTTCTATTTTAGTATATTAATTTTTTTAAAACTATTATTCAAGTATTTCGTCAATTTTTTCATTAACCGATGACATATCCGAATATCAAATTATATATTTTTATTTTATTATAATGAACTTTCTTCCCATATTATTCTACAATTTTAAAGTGTAAGAAATAATTAAAAAATATATTTTTACGTTATAAAATTCCAAACTAAACTCAACCAGATTTGTTGTAAAAAAAAAAAATCAATTAGGTTTTGAGCATGAAAATTGAAGAAAATACAAACATGATATTTTTCATCAAGAAAATGCATTTATTTTTTTCTTCAATTTTCACTCTTAAACCCAACGGATTTTTTTTTTTAATAACAACAATCTAACTGAATTCAGTTTGAATTCTTACAGTTAAAAAATAATATTTTTAATTATTTATCAAATTTAAAATAATATAAAAAATCTTCTTAAACAAAAAGAAATTAAAATCAAAATTTTCCACTTTATAATTTAATATAACTTCAAAGGCTTGTGTGTTACAGACTTACCTGGGTCAGCTAAGCCCCGGCCGTGTACAGCATTCTACTCTGCGAACATCGCATCGTCCAATCCGGAATCTGAACAATGACTTTACGAGTCTTGTCAAAGTAATTAGCAGATAAGACCTGCAGTGGGGCACCGGATGTTACTCCCTCAGCACTTAATCAAGGTTGCCCCAAAGTCTCCATCGCATTCCAGAGTTGAACAATTCCTCCTTTCGTGTCTCCTCAAATTAATGTCGAGTCCTCGGTCTTGTAGCTCTTTTTATCGTTCTTAAATGTAAGCAAGTCTCGTGGTCTTGGTATATTAACCTGTCATCGTCGATGCCAAGAACAAGGCAACAAACATGGCGGCGGGTGGAGGAGCAAGCAGTGGGATTTCAGCCCCTTACGGCTCTTTGCAAGACACTCCCACTTGGGCTCTGGCAACTGTTTGCTTCGTTTTCATCTTCACCGGCATATTTATCGAGCACTTGATCCATCTTCTTAGCCACGTAAGTGTACTGATGAATCTACTTGCCACCAATTACAAGCACTAGAAAATGAACCATGTAATTAATCTCAAGCTCAAAAACCTTGAATTGTTGCAGTGGCTTAAAAAGCACAGGAAGACTGCCTTGTTTGAGGCTGTGGAGAAGCTTAAATCAGGTGATCTAGCTAGCACAAACTGACTTATCTTTCTTTTCCCATAATTTATGGCTGGTTGGGGAGAGAAGGGAGATCGAGACTGATATTTGATATTTTTGTTTTGGCTGGTCACAGTTCTTATGGTGTTGGGATTCATGTCACTCATTTTGACAGTAACTCAAAGATCTATTGTCAAAATCTGCATACCTAACAAAGTTGCAAACAAAATGCTTCCCTGCCGTCAAACTGTAAACAAAACTACCAAAGCACTGCAAGAAAGGATTTTGGCAGCTGAATCCGGTTCAGATTATTGTGGTTCTAAGGTTTGCACATTCATCCATTTCTCAATTATATTTAACTGTTAGATGATTATCGATCTAATTAATACAAATATATATAAATTGTTTCAGGGAATGACATCTCTAATATCAGAAAGTGGGATCAATCAGCTCAATATCTTCATCTTTGTGTTAGCAATTACGCAAATAGTCTACAGTGTTCTTACTATGGCCTTGGGAAGGGCAAAGGTAACATCACATTAACCTATATATATAGAGAATGATGATATATTTATCCTATTATATCACTGAGACTTGAATTTTTTCTTCTTCTTTTTTTTTTAAAAAAATATCAAATATATATAATTGATTTTAAGATTTTATTTATGAATCCACGTGCATCTCATGACTAGTTCTTAATTATCACATAAATAGGTATTGAATTTTTTTTTTTAATAAAAAAGCACAAAGGCCAACTTCATCCTGAATGTCAAACGCATATCATCACATGAAATCCTAAAATAAATAAACAAAAACACTTTCCACCCGAAACTGAGGGAGGTTTTGATGAGACGTGAGTATGAAAAGAAAGATCGGTAATCTTGGACAACTTTAAACTATCTTGAATCTAGCTGTCCCAGTAGACAACTTTTGCCTTTTGGGTTGTTTTTGTTTGACTTTTTTAATACGTTTGGTCTTTTTTGTATAAACTGTTTGGACTGGGGGACCTTTTGCTGGATAGCTGTCCTATGACTTCGAGACCGTCCAAATTGCCTGGAAAAAAATTAATAAATTTCTTCCTTAGTCCACTGCTGAAATAATGGGAATTAATAATTAAGCATGCCCCACTTTTTTAATGATGATTTTGATTGCCTTATCTTCTCATCTGTTTTTGTTTTTAATTTCTTCAACATTAATTAATGCATTAATTCAAACTTGAATTAATAGATGAGGAGCTGGAAAGCTTGGGAGAGAGAGACTCAGACAGTGGAATACCAAGCTGCCAATGGTAAATAATAAGTACATTATTTTGCCTCTTAATTACCTTTATCTTTACTCTAACATTAAATAAAATAATAAATAATCAGAAAAAAGAATAATATGCATTTTGAGCCTCTGATCTAATGAATAAATCAAAGCTATATATATAATATTATTTAATTGTTCTATACTAATTGTTTCTTAATTTTTAGATCCTAATCGCTTTCGGTATGCAAGGCAAACTACATTTGCACGTAGACACAGGAGTTTCTTTACAGCAACAACAACCCAACTCTGGATTGTGAGTTCATTTTCTTTTTTCGTTTTACCACCATTTCATGGACGATTTATTTAATTTAGAATTAATAGTTGAATCTATTTTATATAATATGGTAATTTTTTAATTAAGTCAATTTTGTCTTTGAATATATATATACACACACGTTAAGTTTTTAATTTATTATTTTATTAAGATTTTCATGTCAAATTACTAAAATTATTCACCTAATTTGTACATACTAATTTTTATTTTTAAGTACTTTTATAAGCCAGACAAATAGAAAATTTTTTATGTGCAAATCACGTGATTAATTTCTATATTTTAGTCTGAAGATTTTATCAGAAAAATAGATTAGACACGTAATGTATATTCGAAGATAAAATTGATTGAATTATAGATATAATGACAGATTAAAAAATTATCCTATTATATATAATGATAAATTTAGCGTTTAACTTTTTAATTTATTAATGTTACAGAAGTGCTTCTTCCGTCAGTTCTTCAATTCAGTGGCAAAAGTTGACTATCTAACTCTGCGCCATGGATTCCTTGCGGTGAGCATCTCATGCATTCTTATGATCATTATTTTTTAGATATTAAATATAAGGGAATAAATAATCATCATATTAATTATCTATAATCGAAAATTCATTCATTTATATAAAAATTTTGATTTAATATTATGCTTCTTAATTAATACAATACTAACATTATAATAATATATCTGGATACTAATTAATTTGTAAATGTCAACCCATCTATAATTAAGAAAAAAAAATTTGAAAAAAGAATTCCAAAAAAATTAAAAAAATAGACCACTAATCAATAATTAATTTTTGAACGCAGGCTCATTTTCCCAATAATGGTTCCTTCAATTTCCAAAGGTACATACAACGATCGCTGGATGATGATTTCAAAGAAGTAGTCGGCATTAGGTAATTATTATCAATCGTTCTTAATTATATTCCAACCAAACTACTCATCAAATATAATTAATCTTAATTGCCATTACGTTAAAGGATTAGTATATACTTTAAGAATCAATAACTTTGAAATAATTTAATTTATTTAAGAGTTAATGGCTCAATATATGCTTATATAATATAGTGATTTTTCAATTTAATTTTATATATTTAATTGAGTTAAGATGTTATCTCTGAATATACGTTTAAGTTTTTAATATATTGCTATAACAAGATTTTAAAATTAAATTATCGAAATTAATCACATGATTTTCACATGAAACTCTTTTTTTCAATTTAATTTTATATATTTAATTGAGTTAAGATGTTATCTCTTAATATACGTTTAAGTTTTTAATATATTGCTATAACAAGATTTTAAAATTAAATTATCGAAATTAATCACATGATTTTCACATGAAACTCTTTTTTTCAATTTAATTTTATATATTTAATTGAGTTAAGATGTTATCTCTGAATATACATTTAAGTTTTTAATATATTGTTATAACAAGATTTTAAAATTAAATTATCGAAATTAATCACATGATTTTCACATGAAACTCTTTTCTTTTGTCTGTTTCCAAGAGTATTATCTGAATAAAAAATAATCATGGATGCATCAAGTGATCCTAATCCAGTGGTTTGGTCTAAAAAACTTAGTAAAATGGATATATATATATATATATATATATATATTAACTAAGTGTTCTAACATCAAAATCTTGTGTTTCTGTTTTTCAGTCCCTTGATGTGGTTTTTAGTCGTCATTTTCATGCTTGTGGATGTGCATGGTAAATATATTTATGTTTCTGCTTTTCTTTTATTTAATTATGTGATATTAATTAAAAAACATTAATTAATTCAATTATATATTAACTTAATTATGTGTCTATGCATCTGAACTATTATATAACAGGTTTGCAAGTCTATCTTTGGGTATCGTTTCTCCCATTGCTAGTAAGTACTCCTACTAAAGATTCAAACTTTTTGTTTATTCTTACATTGTATATATATTTCTCAAACCATATATACTTTGGTTTTGTGTGTTAATTTGTAGATAGTGCTAGTTCTTGGAACCAAACTTGAAGTAGTAGTGGCAGAAATGGCTCTTGAAATCCAAGATCAAAATAGCGTAATCAAGGGAGCCCCTCTAGTCCGACCAAACAACAAGCTCTTCTGGTTCAGTCATCCAAAATTTCTCTTGACTCTTCTGCACTATACTCTTTTTATGGTATGCAAATCGTTATATGCAATTAATATATACACATCGAGTAATGCTAAACATTAAAAAAAAGGTTTTTTCTCATATTTAGACTCTATATTATTTGAATTTTTTTTAATTAAGACTCTTTATTTTTAAAAAAATTGATCGAAACCTTCTATTATTCAAAATTTATTGTTTCGGACTCTCGTTATAACGCTACTAATCAATGATCGACGCTTTTTTGAGATTTCTTACTTTACAACGTCACATGTTGATTACTTATTGATGAATCTTAAAAAGTAAAAAGTCTTAATCAAATTAAAAAAAAAACTTAATCTCAATATTTTTTTTAAAAAAAATACAGAGTCTAAATGTGAAAAAAAATCTATTAAAAAAATATGATAAGAAAAAATTATAAAAATACATATAAGTTATTAGATCACCAATAGGGTATAATTAGACCCCAATGTAATATCATGATCTTATAGTGGGATCTAATTATAGGTTCTATTGGTGATATAATAACTTACGTGTATTTTTAGAGTTTTTATTTGTTATATTTTCTTCATATAATAATACAAATCTGGAATCTAAAATCCAAATCTTATTATTATTTACTGCATTAATTAATATATATTGAACTAACTTGCTAATTTACTACTCCACCCAGAACGCTTTTGAGGTGGCATTCTTTGTCTGGGTCACGGTAATATTCGTCACTATCACTTCTTTTTCTGTATTTTGACTTAATTTTATTGTTAATTTTCAGAACTTAAAAACCACATAACATGAAATTTACAAAGGAAGTAACATTTCTAGCTGATTTTTTTTTCTTTTTTCTCAGATAGAATTGGGGATAAATTCTTGCTACCATGAAAGGGCAGAGATCATCGTTATCAGGCTTGTATTAGCGTGAGTACTGTCATCACTTCTCTTTGTAATTTTCCCTTTCTTTTTTCTTTCAGATCAGCATTCATTTGTAGTTAATTTCCAGTAAAAGTTTATACTTCAAGATTTTATTAATTTCAATTTGAAGTATCTCGAATGTTGATGTGCTGCTCAGGGTGACGGTTCAAATCATGTGCAGTTATATTACTCTTCCTCTGTATGCATTAGTAACCCAGGTAGGTATCCATCCATCTCTTTCTTGAGATTAAATTATAATTTAGTCCTTTTTGTTTAGAGAAACAAATTAATTAATCTATTTTCTTTAAAAAAAACTAGTTATTTATTTCTTTACGTTTTAATTCCGTCAATAACTTAGTCATTTCATCAGTTTTTTGTTAGATTAGTAATTTTTGTTTTCAAATTGCTCTTCTTTTGATTTTTAATTGAGAGTGGGTGAAAGAGGAAAAAAAAAGCAATTTGAAAAAAAAATCACTAAGATAATGAAAAACTGATGAAATTAATGACTAAGTTGTTGACGTAATTAAAACGTAAATGACTCAATTATTAGTTTTTAAAACAAACGAAAAAAAACTAATTAATTCCTTTCTTGAAAAAGAAAGTAACTAATGAAATGATTAATTTATTGACGGAATTAAAAAGTAAAAGATTAAATGATTAATTTTTAAAACGAGAAGGATTAATTAATTTGTTTCTCGAAATGAAAGAGACTAATTTATGATTTACTTCTTTGTTGATGTTGGGTTGGCATGCATGGATGGATTGCACATAAATCTTGAAAATGCATCGAATTTTTGTTTGTAAACAGATGGGGTCACAATTCAAGAGTGCAATCTTGGAAGAGCAAACAGCAAATGTTATTAAGCAATGGCACAGTCGAGTGAAGAAGAAGACGAAGAACAAAAGACATGATTTTTCACCATCTAATCATCAGTCCTACTCGTCCCCTGTATCAACCAGCAGCAGAACCATGGATTCCTCAAATGAAAACCATCATCGTCATCCTAGCCCAAATGATTCTCCAAGCCACACCCCTTCTCTTTACAGAAATCTAACGTTCTGGGAGATGACTTCAGTTCATGGCGAAACTGAGATAGTTGAAGAGAGTGCTCAAGAAATTCCCCAACATGTGGTTCCATCCACAGTGGTTGAGATAGGTAATGTGCCTGACGTGACCAAGAATCAAACATAGATAGGGAGATCTTTGCAAATTAAAATAGATTTGAAAAAAAAAGGTACCATTTTTCCTTTTTTTATCATATTCTCATATTTGTAAGTTACAAATTCATTGTCCTTGTGATATGTATATATGACATCAATATTTATTAAAATAAACTGATGTGAAAGATACACCATCATTCTGATCCTTTTAATTAACATGCAAATTGATACAAAGATATAATTACTACCAAATAATAATAATAATAATAATAAATAAAATCCTCAACAAGATATTTTATCTATTGGATCCTATAAAATTGGCACATTTTCTCATTTGTCTCAAAGCAATTTAACGTGTGAACTTGTTTTCCGCCAAAAAAAATATCCCTCCTCAAAACATGACGATGTTGTAAATCTTTGATGAAAAATTTTATAATATTCAAAGAGTAACTAATGATATGTAAAGTAGTTATTTTATGAAGTTACTTGGAGTAATGAGATAGACACATAAAATTATATTAAGATTTGTCAAAAGTGATAAAAAGATTTTCACATTCTTTTAATTTTTTTTTTAATTTTCTCTTCTATCTCTCTCTCTCTCTCTCTCTCTCTCTCTCTCTTTTGTATCTATCTCTTTCCTTCAAATGGGTCAATGGAGTATTATAAAATTTCTCATAAATCTTCGATCTACCGAATAAATAAATGAGTTTTTTTCCTTAATTGATCATGTCTTTCTTCTTTTTTTGTAACTAGTATTTATAGGTTTTTGGTCGTTTCATGATTTTTTTGTAGTATTTCATATTTTGTCGTGATTTTTTATTAGTACACGTGGCAAACTTTAACGAATGATAACTTGTTATATATCATGATATGTTCAAATTGGATGATTGAATTAGTGATGTGGTAAGCTATTATTGGCTAGAACGCACACGTGGTAAACTCGTTATTGAATAGGATCTAAAACAACGAGTAGAACTCGTAAATTTGATAGAAAAAATTTAAGATATCAATTAAAAAAATCTGAATTATACTAGATCTCGATGTACGTAAAAAAATAAAAATCAGTTTGCTAATAACAAAACTCACATTATTGATGGGTAATAATTTTAGAACATCTATCGAAATGGAAAGATGACCAAATGTTTTGGAATACATCAAACATGGATTAACTTTAGAGTTATTAGAGGCTTTATTCATCCACATGACAAAACACCACCGAACTCCCAACTCATGGTGACTATTGGTCGATGCATGTGCTCGAGCAAGACTTCAAACAACTGGCCACTTCCTTTTCACCTCGCCAAATAAGCGCAAATAGAAAATCATATGAGTCTTTTTGTTTCTGTTTCATAGCCTCACAATTATTCCTCGTTTCAAGAATAATTTCAAAAATAAAAAGGTTAATAGATGAATCCATTTTTATATAATAAAATAATTCTCTAATCTATTCTTATATTATTAATTGAGTTAATTTTATTTTTAAATATATCTTAACTTTTTAATCTATTTTTTTGTCAAAATTTTCAAGCCAAGCCATCAAAATTCCTCACGTGATTTTTACACAATTAATTTTTATTCTCTAAATATTTTTACAAATTAGTCAAATAAAAGATTTTTATATGCAAATTGTGTGAATATAAGAACTAAAAAATTATCGTATTATAATCACAAAAGCATGGAATCTTTTGCCAAACGGTAAAGCAAAATAAAATTTAAGAAAAATGTTAATTAATTGCTCCGTGCATTACAGAGAAAGAGAGTTAATTACGAGGGTCATTTTTGGTGCTGATTTTGGAACAAGAAGAGCAAGCACAATTCATGTCGCAAGGTTGTGTCTGCAGAATGAAAGATGCGAGTGTTTCAAACATTTAACGAAGCACATTTGGTAACGAGCTTCGAAGGGGATGCATAGCACGAAACAACTTCGTAGCAATCATCAAACGAGGCCGTGGATCGCCCTACAAGCAACACTACCACCACAAAAACACCATGAGAGACCTAATTCTTCTTTCCTCCATTGTCCCTCTTTCTTTTTGGTCGTGGAGAGATTATTTAGGTCTCCACGAGGCTTTTATATTTGTTGTGTACAATGCATATTTTCATACAAGGAAATTTGTTTTTGGATATAGAAAATATGGAAATAGCTTTAAATTATGGAAATCTAGAGATTTTTTTTTCTAATTTCGATGGATTAGTTAAATGATATGGTAGTATTGTTTTACCTTCCTTTTTTTTTTTTTGGGTCATTTAAAGTATCCTAGGTCTAAAGACCCAAACTAATTATTTGTTGTTCCGTCGAGCACATAAGATGGAAAAAAGCTATTCGAGAGTTTTTTTGCATATACAAGGACTTGAACTTGAGATCTTTTGCTTAAACGACCGGACCCCTTCTACTCAAACTAACCCTATTGGGTACTTTAAAAAAAAAAATATTTGCATACTTTACATGTCTCTATAATTTTTGTGGTTTTTATATAGTCTTACAAATTTTTAAGAGATACTGGTGTTTTTCTTCTCGATTTGGAGAATGTAATAAAATAACAGTAATACAAAAGAAGAATAAGAAGAAGAAAGAGTACCAAAGTAAAAAAGCATAGAGAAACGATGAAATTTAAGACAAATGTAAAACAACATAATATTGTGTTTGAAATAGTAAATAGTAAATTTATTCTTCTAGTTTGTCATTTCTTATGAAAATTGTCACCCAATTAGTTTTTTATTTTTTCATTTAAAAAAATTATTTATCGCTACACATGATTTATTTTTCTCTATGTATGAATTTTTTAATATAATCATTTTCTCTTTTAAAAAAAATTGATATAATCTAAATGATGAATTATTATAATTTTTAAAATAATAGTAGCATGATTTTAAATATATATTTTGTAAATTATTTTAAAAAATTGAGATAAATTATCCGAAAAACACTTTTAACATTTAGGTTAAATTTACAAAATAAATTTTTAGTTAAAATAAATTTAGATAATTTTTAGTTAAATAAACACTTTTAAGAGATACTAGTATTTTTCTTCTCGATTTAGAGAATGTAATAAAATAACAATAATACAACGAAGAAGAAGAAGAAAAAAGAGTAACAAAGAAAAAAGCGTAGAGAAACGATGAAATTTAAGACATGTAAAACAAAATATAATATCGTGTTTGAAATAGTAAATAGTAAATTTATTCCTCTAGTTTGTCATTTCTTATGAAAATTGTCACCCAATTAGTTTTTTATTTTTTTGTTTAAAAAAATTATTTACTCGCCACATAAGATTTATTTTTCTCTATGTATGAATTTTTGAATATAATTATTTTCTCTTTTAAAAAAACAAATTGATATAATTTAAATGATGAATTATTAGAATTTTTAAATAATAGTAGCATGATTTTAAATATATATTTTGTAAATTATTTAAAACAATTGAGATAAATCATTTTTTTAGCAAAAACATTATTAAAAACATAATGAATAATTAGTCAAATACAAAATTTTGATAAAAAAAATTGTAAATTGAATGAATTTTTTCTTTTTATCTTTGATTTGATATATTTTGATAGACTCACAATATAACACGAGTATCAAATTGAAACATTTTTTTTAAAATAATTTTACATATTCTCGCATAATCTACGACTTAATAAAAAAACTAGTTGGGGAACTAATCCATTGAAATTAGGGGGATTTTATGGATTTGGAAAGAGAACAAAATGTATTGGGATAACCGCAAAACAAACCCGAACCTACGATGTATTTCACACAACTCAATTCTCAACGTATGAAATTTTTCTAAGTTGCCAATGCATGTATTGTTATGTGTATAACCTTAGGACTTTCAAAATAGATTTAAATGGTGAAAAATATTTTGTTATGACCACGATTGGTTGAGTCTGTCTTTGAAAAGTCCTATACGTTTGGGACTAACATGTGAAATGCATCATAGGTTAGGGTTTGTTTTGTAGTTTTCTCACTTCATTTTGTTCTCTTTTCTAATAGTTAAAATTTGGATGTTAGAAAATAATATAAATCATATTTTGAATCTCACTTAACAACTTCAGCTTTCGGATGAGTTAGTCATTTGATATATGGTTTTAGAAGCTTTTTGATGCCATATAACTATATAAGGAAGACTATCCTTTTGATAGAGTGCCTAAGGTGGCTTTCATGGTTTTGACTAGAGGGCCTTTGCCTTTTGTCACGAACTTGGCCTTTCCCAAGCTCACGTGCGGCACTTGGCTCTCTTCTTCTCTAAGATAAACCAAGTCGACCTTCCTCACACAAAGCTGCTAAGCAAGAAAGACACACACAAGAGATATAAAATACTCTTTGTATCGCTTTCTAAAAGCTTACAACTCTAAAGACACACTCTCTTTAGGTTTATGAATGTCTAGGTGTCTTGGCCAAGTGAGGGCCTCACCTATTTATAGCCTTCCCCTCCTCAATGGATGGCTAGGATCTATTTAATCTAATGGTTATAATTGGTTCTCTAGAAATATCCTATCTAGATATTTACAAGGAACTATCTAGATATACACATGCTAGATTAGTGAGGGACTCTCTAGAATTCTCTAGATCATCTTAGAGACTTCTCCAATGCTCCATATTCTTCTGAAGCTTTCGGCTTTATCTAGAGGCTTCTCCTTTGCTCCATACTCTTCTAGAAGCTTCCGGACTTATCTAGAGGCTTCTCCATTGTTCCATACTCTTCTAGAAGCTTCTAGACTTATCTAGTGTTCTTTAGAATCTCTAGAAAAATCCCTCTTTTAGGTGGAGCGTAACACTCTCCCCCACCTAATTCGACGACGTCCTCGACGCGCCTTCATTATACTCTTCGACCTTCCGTGCGAATCGCCACAAGGCTTCGAGTGGGTTCCCAACTAGCCTCGCTATCGTGTAATCCCTTCCATTTTACGTAGTACTCCTTCCTTGGTGGCACTCCACGACATCTAACTATGCGGTCATCAAGTATGACATCAACTTCTTTGTCATACGAGTCAACCATCGTCGTAGGCGCCCTATAAGAAACTCCTTGGCTTGGATCCTCCTCGTCCGCATGGTATGGTTTTAGCATACTAACATGGAATACCGGATGGATCTTCAGCTTTGGTGGCAACTCTAGGCGATAGGACACCTCTCCCACCTTGCGCACTACCTCAAATGGTCCTTCATATCGTCGTATGAGGCCTTTGTGCACCTTTCGAAATGCTTTATGTTGTTGTGGTAGCAACTTCAGCATCACCTTGTCACCGAGTTGGAAGGTGACATCTCTTCGTCTCTTGTCGGCCCACTTCTTCATCTTCGTGGCAGCCTTGTTCAAATACATTCGCGTCAAGTCCGCCTCGCTCCCGCCATTCTTTGGCCAACGAATATGCATTTGGTCGCTTCCTTGGTACTTGTCACCAAGCACCATCGTATGTGGAGTGAGTGGTTGCCGGCCCGTCACAATCTCAAATGGACTCTTGCCGGTGACTCACTCTTTTGCAAGTTATAGGAGAATTGGGCAACATCTAGCAACTTAGCCCAATCTCGCCGGTCGGCACTCACAAAGTGCCTCAAGTATGTCTCCAGTAAGGCGTTAACCCTCTCGGTCCGCCCATCCGTCCGAGGGTGAAAACTTATGGAGTAATGGAGCTTCGAGCCTAGCAACTCAAATAACTCCGTCCATAGCTTCCTAGTGAATCGAGGATCTCGATCACCGATTATATGTCGCGGCACACCCCAATACTTCACCACATATTTAAAGAGTAGCTTAGCGGTGTTCTCGACCGTCACATCTGCTCGGGGCTGGTATGAAAGTGGCATACTTGGAGAACTTATCCACGACTACGATAATGCTTCCAAAGTTCTCCGATTTCGGCAAAGCCACTATGTAATCCATGGTGATTGTCTCCCATGGTCTCTCCGCGATAGGCAAAGGTTGCAATAGACCTCCGTGCGCTCGATTTTCAACTTTATCTTGCGGCACACCAGACATGTTCTCACATACGACTCCACATTATCACGCAATCGTGGCCAAAAGTATGCTCCCTCCAAGCAAGGCTCTAATGCGTTGTTGTCCCGGATGACCAGCCCACATCGAGTCATGGCATTCCTTCATCAAATCTCGTCGGAGGTTTCCCCACTTAGGTACATAAATCCTCCTCCCTTTTGTGTAGAGAATGCCATCCTCCTCCCAAAATTTTCGAGTTTTGCCCTTCTTTGCAAGGCTCAACAAACTCTTGGCGATGGGATCATGCTCCACTCCTTCCTTGATTCTGGCCACGATCTCCCCATCGACCTTCGATATGTGATGCAACTCGGCCTTTCTACTAAGTGCATCGGCCACGACATTGGTCTTTCGTTGCTTCCTCAATTCCTCCAGCTCGGAGGGCTCATCCGATAAGGTGCCCTAGTTGGCGACTTAACACCCGACACCAACTCGTACTTGGTAATCACTTTCTCTTTAGGTGGCAGCTTCTTAGGCAACTCGGTGGCAAGCACATCATCAAATTCAGCTAGCATGTTGGCAGTCTCTTCATGTACTCTTGTACCCTCATCATCCACTATCTCGTCTTCTCTCAATGTTGCCATGTTGGTGTCTTCATATTTCTTGACGCCCTTCTTTACTTGCATAGTCGAGAGATGCTTCAAGTCCGATCTAGCGTGCACCTTGGCCGGCACCATGCATGGCATTTCTTCTTTCATGATCACCATTTGCTCCAAGTGAGGTGTAGGCACGACTTTCGCTTCTTTAAAGAACTCCATGCCTAAGCACAACCTCGAAGTCGTCCATTGTGATAATGGTGAAATCTAACATCCCTTTCCATGCGCCTATGCCAAGCCTTACTCCATACGCTACGCCATAAGTAGGCTTAGGGGAAGCATTCACCACCTTCATGCTACTTGATGACTTGGTCACCACCAAGTCAAGTCTTTTGGCCTCCTCCTCGACCATAAAATTATGTGTGGCTCCCGTGTCTAGCATGGCAAGCGCGGCCTTGCCATTCACGTCCACCTCCACGTACATAAGCTCATCCTTTGGTGGCACCTTAGGTGAGGGCTTGACATTCAAGGTATTGAGAAGCCGCAACGATCCCATATGCTTCTCAGGCTCGGAGGCACATTCCCTCTCCTCCACCAAGGCATCGAGGGCTTGTCGCTTCGGGCACTCTCTCCACCGATGTGACCCATTGCAAAAGTAGCAACCTTTGGGCTTGAATTCTCTCTTATCATGTTCTTTGACAAAGCTCTTGGACTTATGTGCTTTGTCTTGCCCATCTCTATACCCCTTCCTTTCATAGGCTCCCCCACCTTTGCCCTCGAAGTCTTTCTTAGGCTTGGAGAGTTCCGCCCTTTTGTTATATTCAATTAGGGATTCAGCTATGGCCACAGCCTTCGGCAAAGGTCTTAGGCCGTCGACCTCGCACCTCTTGTTGTGCCCATGATTGAAGTCCCTTAATAAAATCATACATATGATCATAGTCGGGTTTACCACGTACCCGAAGTTTAAGAGAAAGATATTCTCGAACATACTCGTGAATAGTTCCCGTATGCTTCAATGTTCGTAGCTTGTCCCGTGCTTCCCAATCAGCTTCCTTGGGGTAGAATTGAGCATACATGGCTTCTTTGAATTCATCCCAACTAGGCAGCTCTAGATTCCTCTCTTTGAGCTCTTGGTACTTCATACGCCACCATAAAACAGGCGTCCTTCGAAAGATAGAGGGTAGCGGTCTTGACACGACTTCTATCCTCGATCAAGCCCATTGCCTCGAAATATTGCTCTGCTTGCCAAAAGAAGTTATCCACTTCCTTGGCATCTCGTTTGCCAAGTATAGTGCCTTGGTCTTGGCACTTCAACTTTTGGCGTGTCCCTTAAGACCACACCATTCGAGATAGCTTCTCGACAATTTTTCCAATCTTTTCTAAGTTGTTCAAGAGTTTGCTCATACCCGGTCATATACTCTTGATGTTGCTTGAACCTCTCCTTCGTCCATTCCATGAAGGCATCCTTTTCGACAGCGCTCTCTTTGGCACACCTCTCAACCGTTTCCATTCGAGCTTGGAGATTGGAGAGCACCTCACGTAGGTCTACCATGCCTAATGTCTCCCCTCATCATCTCCTTCTAGCTCCTCGAGTCTCTCCTTGAAATCGACAAGGTGTTCCTCCGCCCTCATGAGTCGCTCCTCCAAGGAGACTAATACATCACGAGACTTCCCTCTTCCTTTCTTAGGTCGAGGAGGTAGGGTCTCATTCCTAGCATTCCCAACGAACATCCTCCATGCCCAAGCTAGACATTCTTACTCTCTGAACACTTTAGCTAGCGGCAAGCTTACTCACACTTTGATAAAACTCGACTCGATACCACTTGTCACGGACTTGGCCTTTCCCAAGCTCACGTGCGGCACTTGGCTCTCTTCTTCTCTAAGACAAACCAAGTCAGCCTTCCTCACACAAAGTCGCTAAGCAAGAAAGACACACACAAGAGATATAAAATACTCTTTGTATTGCTTTCTAAAAGCTTACAACTCTAAAGACACACTCTCTTTAGGTTTATGAATGTCTAGGTGTCTTGGCCAAGTGAGGGCCTCACCTATTTATAGCCTTCCCCTCCTCAATGGATGGCTAGGATCTATTTAATCTAATGGTTACAATTGGTTCTCTAGAAATATCCTATCTAGATATTTACAAGGAACTATCTAGATATACACATGCTAGATTAGTGAGGGACTCTCTAGAATTCTCTAGATCATCTTAGAGACTTCTCCAATGCTCCATATTCTTCTGAAGCTTTCGGCTTTATCTGGAGGCTTCTCCTTTGCTCCATACTCTTCTAGAAGCTTCCGAACTTATCTAGAGGCTTCTCCATTGTTCCATACTCTTCTAGAAGCTTCTAGACTTATCTAGTGTTCTTTAGAATCTCTAAAAAAATCTCTCTTTTAGGAGGAGCGTAACACTTTGCCGCCTTTGTGGGAGTGAGGTTCTTTAGGGGTTATCGAAGCTTTACTCCGTATATGTCCATGCGCATCCAAAACACCAAATCAAGGAATCTAAAGACTCGGAAGGCGGATCCCAAGTCGGGTAGGGTTAAAGATGAAAATATATCTTAATTATAACTCGAACTTTGTAATTTTTTTGTTTCTCTCTACGGGAGGTGAAATGGGGACATATATATGTCGCAACTAGGAATGTCAATGGACGGGTACCTAGCCCATTAAACCGATCCTACTTACTAAAAAATATCTATTACCCTATTCATTACCCATTAAAAACCATAGGTCTATTTCTTTATTTAGCTTATACTCATTATATCATATCCTTTCCATACTTTATCCGTATCCATTTACTTGTTATTTTTTTCCTTAAACTCGAAGACTTTTTTTGGGTTAAAAACACATTTGACTCGGATAAATTTTGCATCATTCTTGTATTGCCATAAGGAGGTGGTTCAACTATATTCCATTTCTATAGCCTAAAACTCGTCATTATTTCGAACTCGTGATGCTTTGTTTTTTTTTTTAATTTTATGTTTTAGTATTTTTTTTAAAATATTAATGGGTAAAAGATGAGTATCAAAAGGATAAAAAAAATATCCATATTTATGAAAATTAACATAAACGAATAATACTCTTTTATTCATATTTAACTCATTATCTATTATGATATTTAAAAAAAATAATTAATGAACGAACCGATAGGATACTTTTTCTCGTATCCAACTCTATCGTCATCCCCGACGAAGAATCGATGCTCGGTCGAAACGCCTTCTAGTCAATTCCCTTCGGACTTCTCAAATGAGTAGTTTGTTCTTCTCTCCGAGAGCCGCGCCCATCCCGCCTACAAGTTCACTACAACTTGCGAATATCTCATCCGATCGCAGTATAACTATTCCTCTACTTGATAGAAAATTTAAATATTAAATATAATAACTAAATTTTGAGCATGACAAATACACGATGTCCAAAAGAATGCCTTAGTTGTTCTTATAATTTATTATATATGTAGATAATAAAAATCGATCGACTAATAACAAAATCCATATTATTGATGGGTAATAATTTTAGAACATCTATCGAAATGGAAAGATGAACAAATATTTCGGAATACAAAAAACATGGATTAGCTTTAGAGTTATTAGAGGTTTTATTCATCGACATGATAGAACATCACCGAATTCCAACTCATGGTGCCTACCGATCGGTGCATGTGCTCGAGCAAGATTTTAAACAACGTTCCACTTCCTTTGCACCCGCCAAATAAGCACCAATAGAAAATCATGAGTTTTTTTTTTTTTCCATAGCCTTATAATTCTTGTTCATTTTAAGAATAATTTCAAAAATATAAAGATTAATGAGTGAATGTTAAGTTTCTAAATTATCATTCCGTCAAAATTTTCAAGCCAAACCACTAGAATTATTCACGTGATTTGTACCTAATTATTTTTTATTCTTAAAATACCCCGGCAAGATAGCAAATAGAGAAAGCTTTTATGTGCAAATCATGTGATTAATTCTGATTTTTTAACCTCGAAAATTTTACTAGAAGTATAAATTAGATACTTAATGTATATTTAAAGATAAAATTGGTTTAATTAAGAATATAATAATTGAAAAATTATCGTATTATATAAATACAGATTGAAGCATTAATCTAAAATAAAATTTAAGGAAAATGATAATATCACTATCTTAAGAGAGAAAAAGAGGTAATTACGAGGGTCATTTTTGGTGCCGATTTTGGAACAAGAAGAGAGAGCACAATTCATGTCGCAAGGATGTCGTCGCGAGAATGAGAGGTGCACTCGTCTCAAACATTCAACGAGACATTTGGCAATAGCGCCTTCGAAGGGCAAGCATGTCCGGAAGCAAAAGTTGTAGCAACCCAAAAAGAGGTCGTGGATCGCCTTACGAGCAGCCCCCACCACCACAAAAACCACCAAGAGAGGCCTAATTCTTCTTTCCTCCATTGTCCTTTTTTCTTTTTGGACCGAGATATTATTTATGCCTCCACATGCGAGGCTTTTATATTTGTTGTGTCCAAGTGCATATTTTCACGCAAGGAAACTTATTTTTGGATATAGAAAATATGGAAATAACTTTAAATTATGGAAATCTAGAGATTTATTCCCTAATTTCAATGGATTATAATTAGTTAAATAATATGTAGTATTAATGTTTTACTTTCTTTATTTAATTTTTTTCTCTCTTTTTGAAATCAAATAATGCATCTTATTTCTCCGTAATAAAAGTCGCCTTATGATAATCCATAGAGTGAACCATTAACTTTGATTCATATTGTTATAATTCAATTTTGATCTCTTATTTTCCTTATAAAATTTTACCCAAAAAAAAATTAAAAAAAAATTGCATACTTTTTCATGTTTCTATGATTTTTGTGATTTTTAGATAGTCTTACAAAACTTTAGAATTTTAAGAGATATACTCGGTATTAATTTTTCTTTCCGATTTAGAGAAGGTAAAATAACAATAATAATAAAAAAAAAACCAACAACAACAAAGAAAAAATCCTATACGTTGGGGACTAGCTTGTGAAATGCATCATAGGTTGGGGTTTGTTTTGTATTTTTCCCACTACATTTTGTTCTTTTTCTAATAGATAAAATCTAGACATCATTTTTTTTTCTTCCTAATTTCGAAGGATTAGTTAACTAATATTAATGTATTGCTTTTCTATCCTTTTCCTTTCCTTTTCTTGCTTTTTCCACCTTTTTTCTTGAAATCGAAGAATGTAATCTTAGCTCACTATAATAGACTCACAAATTTTTTAATATATACAAATATAATCTAAAATTTATTTTAATCTTTTAATAATATCATTTTTTCGATTACGCAAGAGTGTGTTGAAGAGCTCATATAGGAAGCTAACACAATGCAGCAGGCGAAAGGAATCTCGGAGCCGAAGGTTGACAAGAACGTCATATACCTCAAGGTTGTAAGGGAGAAAAAGAAGATGGTATATGGTGTAGGCACACATGCAATGCATTATCTATCCCAATCAAGTGCTAGTAGCTCCTCATTTGTATCATCGCATTACCAACAATATTTTTTATGAGGAGGTTCAAAGGCAGTATGAGGAGACGAAAGAGGCTATGAAAAAGATGTAAGTCAAACAACACGAGTTTCAAAACCTTATAACGAAGCAACAAAAAACCATACATAGGCTTAATTTTTAGTACGAAACGATGGCCTCCATATTGATTAAGTTGGCATAGACGTCCGGGTTGTTTATATATCCTTCTATCGATCGAGACTCTACCGTTCCTCCCACCCAGCATTCCATCGAGCATCTTGCCCAGCCTCCCATCGAGCCCCCCACCAAGTCCCGAGAGGAGGATAGGGGATTAGACGATCGGGATGACAATCGAAAGTGACAATTCATTTTTTTAATTTGTTTTCTTTTCTTTCATATGTATTACTCGAATCTTTTTTTTAATTTATATTTAATTTATAATATTTAAATTATACATTTTTTCTTCCAATTATTAATTACTACCAAGAATATTATTAATTTAAAAATAAATAAAAAATGTAAAAAATATAATTAGTGATGGATTGCCAATGAATTTCCATGCCGATGGCGATGGAGTCGCGATGGATTTCTTCGACCTTCAGGTGACGGCATAGCGATAGTCTAGCGACAAATGGCATTAGCTTCGGATATTAGCGATGACATATCGGTCATTAAACAATGACAAGCACTAGCGATGGAATAGTGATGCTAAATACGAAGGTTTGCGGTGACCAATCTAGCGATGAAAGTTTCAATTTTTGCGAAGAAAATTCCATCACTATAATAGTGACGGAATGTTTTTCGTCGTCGATAAGCTTAGTGACTAGCATTTTAGCGATGGATATAATTTTCGTTGCTACATTGTCGCTAAGCGACTTTAGCGACGGATATTGGCTAATTAGAGATGGATTAATTGTCATTTTTCTTGTAGTTTCATATTTTGTTGTGATTTCCTATTTTTGTACTATAATATTCTATATTTTATTACTCGTTTTGATCGTGTTTAAATTTTTTTTCTCTAATTACCAAAATTTATCCTAACAATTAAAAAGTATGATCTATATTGTTATTTTATTATAACTTATTTTTCTACTTATTAGAAAATCTAACTATTTAGTATAATAAATACACGATGTCCCAAGTAATGGCTTAACCTAGTGTAGTTTGTGTTGCTCTTATAAATTTATTATGCGGATAATAAAAATCGGTGTTCTAACGACAAAATCCATATTGTTAATGGGTAACAATCTTAGAACATCTATCGAAAAGGAAAGATGAACGAGATATTTTAGAATACAACAAACATGAATTAACTTTAGAGTTATTAGAGGTTTTATTCATCCACATGACATAACTTCACCGAAGTCCAACTCATGGTGACTATTGGTCGGTGCATTTGCCGCAGCAAGACTTCAAACAACTTTCCACTTCCTTTTCACCTCGCCAAATAAGTACAAATAGAAAATCTATGAGTCTTTTTTTCATAGCCTCATAATTCTTATTCATTTTAAGAATAATTTCAAAAATAAAAAGATTAATAAGTGAATGTTAAGTTTCTAATATATCATTTTGTCAAAATTTTCAAGGCAAACCACTAGAATTATTCACACAATTTACACATAATTAATTTTTATTCTCAAAATACCATTGCAAGATAACAAATAGATAAAGCTTTTATGTGCAAATCATGTGATTAATTCTGATTTTTTAACTCGAAAATTTTACTAGAAGTATAAATTAGACACTTAATGTATATTTAAAGATAAAATCAGTTTAATTAAGAATATAATCATTGAAAAATTATCGTATTATATAAATACGGATTGAAGCATTAATCTAAAATAAAATTTAAGGAAAATGATAATTCCACTATCTTAAGAGAGAAAGAGAGTTAATTACGAGGGTCATTTTTGGTGCCGATATTGGAACAAGAAGAGAGAGCACAATTCATGTCGCAAGGTTGTCGTTGCGGAATGAAAGACGCACTCGTTTCAAACATTCAGCGAAGACATTTGGCAATAGCGCCTTCGAAGGGCATGCATGATCGGAAGCAACTTCGTAGCAACTTCGAAAAGAGGCCGTGGATTGCCCTACAAGCAGCCCCACCACCACAAAAACCACCAAGAGAGACCTAATTCTTCTTTCCTCCATCGTAGTTTTTCCTTTTTGACCGAGAGATATTATTTTGGCCTCCGCAGGCTTTTATATTTGTTTTGTACAATGCATGTTCTCATACAAGGAAACTTATTTTTGGATATAGAAAATATGGAAATAACTTTAAATTATGGAAATCTAGAGATTTATTTCCTAATTTCAATGGATTATAATTAGTTAAATAATATGTAGTATTAATGTTTTACTTTCTTTCTTTATTTATTTTTTCTCCTTTTGAAATCAAATAATTTAATCTTATTTCTCCGTAATAAAAGTCGCCTAAGACTCTTGACGTAACTAGTCCGTTAAGATTTGAATATGTGACTTCTTGTTGCAAAAGATTATTACCATCTGGACTACAAGCTCTTTAATTAGAGCAAACCATTAACTTTGATTCATATTGTTATAATTCAATTTTGACTCTTTATTTTCTTTATAAAATTTTACAAAAAAAAAAAAAAAGACTTAATAAAAAAAATTGCAAACTTTTTCATGTTTGTATGATTTTTGTGATTTTTAGATAGTCTTACAAAATTTTAGAATTTTAAGAGATATAATGGTATTTTTCTTTCTAATTTAGAGGAGGTAATAAAATAACAATAACACAAAAAACAAAACAAAAACAAACAAAAAAAAACAACAAAGGAAAAAACACCCGGGGAATGATGAAATTTAAGACAAATTTAGAGGAAAAATAATATTGTGTTTGAAATAGTAAATTTATTCCTTGAGTTTGTTATTTCTTATGAACATTGTCACCAAATAAATTTTTTTAAAAAATTTTATTTATTGACCAATATGATTTATCTTTCTCTATATAGATTTTTGAATAAAATTTTAGAATATAATTATTTTCTCTTAAAAAACAAATTGATATAATTTAAGTGATAGATCGTTAGAATTTTTAAATGATAATAGCATGATATTATATATATGTATTGTAAATTATTATTTTTAATATGAGATAAATTATCTCAAAAAAACTTTAAATATTTAGATTAAATTTACAAAATATGGTTTTAGTTTAGAATCCATGGGTTTTTAATTTTTTGTTTTGTTTAAAGATTAGTACGAGTTAATTTTCAGTTAAGAATCCAAAAAAAGAAGAATAAATCATTTTTTTAGTAGAAAATTTATGAAAAACATAATGACTAATATCTCAAACACAAAATTTTTTTTAAAAAAATCATAAAATTGAATGAATTTTTTTCTTTTTACCTTTGATTTGATATGTCCCAACGTTGAAATTTTTCTAAGTTGCCAATGCTAGTGTATTGTTATGTGTATAACATTAATTAGGACTTTCAAAATAGATTTAAATGGTGTAGACTATTTTGTTAAAACCATGATTGGTTGAGCTTGTCTTAGAAAAATCCTATACGTTGGGGACTAACTTGTGAAATGCATCATAGGTTGGGGTTTGTTTTGTATTTTTTCCACTACATTTTGTTCTCTTTTCTAACAGATAAAATCTGAACATCATTTTTTCTTTCCTAATTTCGATGGATTAGTTAACTAATATTAACGTATTGCCCTTTCTATCCTTTCCCTTTCCTTTTCTTATTTTTTTCCCCTTTTTTCTTGAAATCTAATAACGTAATCTTAGCTCACTATAATAGACTCACTAATTTTTTTTCAATACTTCTTTCTTTTTCATCACCTTCTTTTTTTCCATCTGGATTTAACTTGCAGACTTCCAAATCCTTATTTTGAACTTTGCATTGAGGCTTTATTTGCTTCATTTGGTTTCAATTTTTATTTATTTTTTCTCTTAATTTCTTTCAACTTCACTCAAAGCTTGAATTTTGAGTCCATGTTGTTTTTGGCTCTAGTTTGTGTGATTTTCAATTTAAATTATAAGGAAGCTTTTATCTCTGTCTATCTGAATCAAATTTAAACAAGATTTTCAGAGATTTTGGAATAGAAATTGGATTTCAGCTTGTTTATTGAAGTAAGATACAAGAGCAAATGGCAAGGAATGGGGGAAACAAGGTAGATCATGCAGCAAAGAAGCACACAGGTTTGCTTAAACTAGTGCAGATGTTGTCATATTTGGTTGTCTATGTTTCATGTTCGATTTTAGGCTTAGCAACTGGTTCTCTGGTCAACCGGTACATCACTTTACAAGGACAACTATTTTTCACAGACAACAATAAATCATCAACAACATCCTGTCATAATTGCACGATCCTGAAACCTAGTGATCAGGGTGCTGTTTCTTCGAGTATGGAGTTATCTTTTCGTCGAAAAAGCTTGACTCACAGTATGAATGATGAACAACTCTTCTGGACTGCCTCTTTGGTGCCATATAAGGAAGAATATCCCTTCGATAGAGTGCCTAAAGTGGCTTTCATGTTCTTGACTCGAGGGCCTTTGCCTTTGCTGCCATTGTGGGAGAGGTTCTTTATGGGTTATGAGAAGCTTTACTCTATTTATGTCCATCCGCATCCGAAGTACAAGATGAAGGTATCTAAAGACTCTCCCTTCTATGGAAGGCAGATCCCAAGTCAGGTGTGTGTATATATTGATAATATGCATCTTGATTTGATTATATATGGTTAAAGATGAAAATGTCGTCTATGAACTTTGTAATTTTTTGGTTTCTCTTTGCAGGAGGTGAAATGGGGGCATATGTCAGCGATTGATGCTGAGAAACGCCTTCTAGCCAATGCTCTTCTGGACTTCTCAAATGAGTGGTTTGTTCTTCTGTCCGAGAGCTGCATCCCAGTCTACAAGTTCACTAAAACGTATGCATATCTCATCCGATCAGAGTACAGCTTTGTGGAGTCCTTCGACGAGCTTTCCTTCGATGGCCGCGGCCGCTACTTCCATCAAATGCTTCCTGAGATTCAGCCCCATCAATGGAGGAAAGGTTCTCAATGGTTTGCGATCCAACGAGACCTTGCTATTTACATCGTCTCCGAAACCAAGTACCATTCTGTGTTTAAGAAACTTTGTTATGAAGAATTGTTTTGCCTTCCTGAAGAGCATTACATTCCAACTTATCTGAGCATGTTCCATGGATCACTCATTGCAAACCGGACTCTGACTTTGGCTGACTGGTCAGTATACAGCTCTCATCCCACAAAATACGGCAGATTTAATGTTACAGAAAGTTTGATAAATTCTATCAGGAATAACGGGACATTATGTTCTTATAACTCAGACATGATGAATCTTTGTTACCTCTTTGCCCGGAAGTTTGCTCCAAGTGCCTTGAAGCCCTTGCTAAAAATTGCTGCCAAGATCATGCAGTACTGATTTTTTTCCTGTCTTTGCAGTACTGATAGTTGATGTCAGATGTAATTTCTGTAGTGCTCTGTTCTTTAGATATTGCGATCCCTCTCCACAAGATTAAGCCTATTTTCGTTTTTTGGCATAGATAACCATTATTGGTCACTAAATTGCAATATGATATACAGGGATTATCAGTCATGCAAGATTGGATCCCTACATGGCCATCTTCTCTTTGTCCATTACTCGTATAATCTTTCATGGTTCCTTGAAATCATTGAAATCGAATTCAGTGTAAAACAAAAAGGGCAAAAAAAACTTCACCGTGTTTCTAGATACCGTGTAGTGGCAAAATGATAAGCCAAACTGTCAAACGTTCCGTGAATTTTGAGTTATTTGAGAATAGATATTTCAACTTTCAAGTCGGAGCTTTCTCCAACTATTTTGCATTTGAAATTTATTCTTTATGTTAAAGTTTACATCAATTCTAAATAGCAAAATGATAAGCTAAATGGTCCAAACTTTTCTTTTTAAGTTATTTGATAATTAGTCACTCAACTCCAAGAAATTTTATAATATACCAAGAGTAACTAACGATAAATATAATAATTACTTCATGAATTCGATTTTAAGAAGAGAGATAGACAAAAAAAAAAGAAGAGAAATTACATATATACCCATAAAAAATGATAAAAAGATTTCTACGTCCGTTCAAAATTTTTTTATTTTCTCTCTCTTTATCTTTTTTTTTTTGTCTATCTCTTCTTAAAGTAGACTTATGAAGTAATTATTATACATGTCATTAATTACTCCTAGTGCATTATAAAATTTCTCCTCAACTTCCAATTATGAAATAGAATTTTCTCTGACTATTTTTCATTTAAAATTGAACCTTTTTTTTACTATGTTTCATAAATTCTAATATATAAATATAATTTCTCAACAGCTAAAACCATACTAAAACTTTAGATATTTTGTTTTTTCCTCCTAAATGCTAAGAAGTAAGCAGTTAAAGAACATATTAGAAGGAAAATAAAAAATAAAAAATTTAGAGGAAAAAAAAACAAATATCTATAAATTCTAGCATATCTTTAACTATCATAAAACACCCTTATTTTAAACAAAAATCGTAAAAAAAAAAATCCACTACAATATTAAACGTTGAAAAATTGATTCTTAAATGAAGTAAAATACATTCAAAGTTAAGAAGAGATTTAGACTATTTAACCAAAATGACATACAAACAATTCATGCATCAAACAAAACAGTGTTGTGAAGCAACTTGAGAGAGCACCACATCCAACTAGTGATAAAAGTTGAGCTGCTTTTCAATTTCTAATACAGAATTGTTCCAGAAAAAGAAGAGGATCCAAATCCAAGCCCTAAAGCCCCCATTATTAATAAATAAATGTTATATGGAATCTTGTTCCAACAAATCCAACATTCCATGGTAAGAAATCAGAAAAAGAAAAATTATACCATTCCATAAATTAATGAAACGGATTCAAAAATTTTCAGTAAAATGTTATGATCTTCAGTGGCCACACAAATGACCTGCAAATTTACATAGATGATTATTGCACAAAGGCTCCAGCATTAGTCAAGTATACTCATATGCAATGACAATTGACTGTTAACATCTACTAATCAATTGGACATCTTTAATAAATATTAAGGATCAAAAAGTACAACAATAATAAATCATCGTACGAGACTGATTCACTAAGCACTTCCAAAACTTTCTGTGGCACTTCTACCATTTATGCTTGCAAGTGAAACTAGCAGCCAGAGACAATCTGCATATATCGATAATCTAGCATTGCTGGCTAACTTGAAATCAAAACCCGAGAGAACCAGGCATTTTATCAAGTCACTGTGTGCTCAAGAGTCACGCTGCTGCCCGCTGGTGGCTGTGTTGCCATTCAAGGGATCCGGATGAATGCTGTTCAGCCATATCTGGCGGTCGATTTGGCTGGCACAGAAGAATAACCATTACCATATAAGGAGCATGAGGGAAAATAATCTAACATCCAGGAAACTCACAAGAACAAACAGGCCAAATTTAGAAGCTGACTTTCCACAACACCTAAAAGAATCTAAGCATACACGTCTAAACTCCCAGATTCTGAAGTGAATGATGAATTATATAAAACTTCAACAGATGAAATTGTAGATACACCGTTCTGTATGCTATATCTATAAATATGGTTATGGCCAACTAAAATCAAATTATAGAAATATAAATGAACCAAATATTTGAGGGATAGAGTCTACTGAAATGAATTAACTCAATGTTTTAACTGTCTATCTTGCTATTTTTACATAATCTTGAAATAATTACTTTTTTGTGAAGTTTGGCTATTGTAAGGGGATCAAACAAAGGAAATTGAATCCATCTATAACTCCTTTTCAGACAGACAATCATCTAAGATCTGAAAGAACAGAGACCGGTGAGGCTAGATGGAGGCAGTCTAAAAACGATAAGTTCACTGTTAAATTCTTTTCCGGGGTCATGTCTAAGGATTTGGCACAAATAGGGGATGTATGACTTTCCCTCAAATGAGTAATATCTACTCAGAAACAACAATTGATTAGAATTTTCTGTCCAAACCAAAATTAGAACAAAGAGCAGAGAGGATAGCATATGAAGGATTCAAGCTCTTACCTGCTGCTGGTTGTCTTGCCATTGGTTTCGTCCAGCAATATGAGAGGATCCTACAGGATGGTGTCTGACCACTGAAGGTGATCCATAAGAATATTGTCCTTCATTCTGTGAGGATTGAAAAGGTACCTGTCCTGACATCTGTGGAGATTCACTTGGATTGCATTTAATCATATGTGAGGTTCCCGATGGCTTCTGTTCCATATTACTGGACCATGATGCCTGCTGTCCCCCAATTTCAGAGGACCATGATGGCTGCTGCCCTCCACTTTCAGGGGACCAAGATCGCTGCTGTCCTCTTGTTTGAGAAGACCATGACAGATGCTGTCCTCCGGTTTGAGAAGACCATGATGGATGCTGTCCTCCTGTTTGAGAAGACCATGACAGATTCTCTCCAGTTTGAGAAGACCGTGACGGCTGTTGGCCTGTGGTTTGAGAAGACCATGAGGGCTGATGGCCTGTGATTTGAGAAGACCATGACGGCTGATGGCCTGTGGTTTGAGAAGACCATGACGGCTGCGGGCCTGTGGTTTGAGAAGACCATGACGGCTGCTGGCCTGTGGTTTGAGAAGACCACGACGGCCGCTCACCCGTGGTTTGAGATGCCAGCTGCTGGCCTGTGGTTTGAGATGACCATGGTGTCTGCTGGCCTGTGGTTTGAGATGACCATGGCGTCTGCTGGCCTACTGTTGGAGAAGACCATGCCGTCTGCTGGCCTGCTGTTTGAGAAGACCATGCCGGCTGCTGGCCAGCTGTTTGAGAAGACCATGATGGCTGCTGGCTAGCTGTTTGAGAAGACCATGACGACTGCTGTCCACCTGCTTGAGAAGACCATGACGCCTGCTGGCCTCCTGTTTGAGAAGACCATGAAGATTGTTGCCCTGCCATTGTAGTTGCCAATATCAATTATTAAAGAAACAGAATGAACAGAATTCGTCTTAGTTGAAACGAGCAGCATTCAATGAGATTTATAGAAAACAAAGAATTACATCTTAAAATAAGTTAAATGTTACAAACATCAAAAAATAAAAAACAGAATAAAGTAAGACATATAAATAGATCACTATTCATAATAAAATAACAAAAAAGAAAAAGAAAACTGATTATAAAAGTTAAAGCTTCAGTTGGATAGTCACTACCTTGATAAGGTCTCGATGGCTGTTGCTGATCTGTATTATGAAATCCTGATGGTTGTTGCCTATTATGAGATCCTAGTGGCAGCTGCCCGGTCATCTGAGGAGATGCTGATTGTGTTTGTCTTGACATTGGATGGTCTCCAAAAGACTGTGATCTTGCAATCTGAGGTTCATCTGAAATTGATTTTCCCATCAATGGAGAAGGTCCTAATGGCAGCCCACTTGCCATTTGAGTAGGTTTGTGTTGACTTTGAGGCTGTGTTGGATAAGCAGGTCTTGAATTGTTAATCCACTTTCTTCCATCCAAAACACTCTTAATCTCACTACCCTGTCCAGCTTTTTCAAAGACCTCAAGTACGAATTCCTTCAATGAAGGGGGAACACCAACACCATATTTCATCATTTGGTCCAGCATATCCTTGCTCGTATCAAGTGCACCAGCATTACAAAGCCCCCTAACCACAACATCATAGATTGATGAATCTGGTTTTGGATCTTTGTTACCCATTTTGGTCAAAATCTCTGCAGACTCCACTGCCTTGCCATTCTTAATCAACTCACCAAACACCCTAGTCCCAAAGCTTGCCACCACCCTCAAACCAGCATCGGCCATTTTATTGAACATTCTCAAAACATCATCAATCTCTTCCATCTTCAAATATGCATCAATTAATGTCCTAAAGGTAGTGACATCAGGAGTCAAGCATTTGGCAGACAATGCTGCAAAGAACTCCTCCGCCTGCTTCATCATCTCATTCTCGCAAAACCTTGCAATAATGTTGTTGTACCCCGCAACATCCATTTGAAAAGGCTTAGACCCAGGCTTTGTCCCTGTCTTTTTAAATGTATTAATTGCCTCATCAAACTCCCCTTCCTTAAAGCACTCGTTCACCATTGTATTAAATGTATCTGAATTTACAGCTTGGTGGGTAGGTGGGGTATGATTGTCCAGCATATGCTCAAACAAAGCCCAAGCAGCCTCTTTCTTCCCATATTTAACCAAAACCTCCAAAATCGTATTACAAGTTGCAGGTACCACCTTAAAATTCTTATCCTGCCAAGACTTGTAACTTTCCATAGCCTCCTTATCCTTCCCTTGCTTAAACCACCAATCCATAAATGTGGCATTAATCACTCCGTCGTAAACCAAACACCTCTCTTTCAACTCATCGAAAAACTCATTGGCCTTCTCCAAATTCCCTAACTCCAAAAACCCTTTGATGACATTATTATAAACCAATGAATCCGCTCCATGCCCTTTAGTCAACATCTCCCTCAACAAATCAACCGAATCCTCGATCCTCCCAGCATCAATCAACCCTTTAGTCAAATGCCTATAAGTCACTGACGATGGTGAAAATGGTGCTGTCTCAATTATTTGCCTATAAACCTCAAGCCCCACATCAACTCTTCCCTCATCACAATGTGCATTGATCAAATTATTATAAGAAACAACATTAGGCACTATTTTATGTTGTTCAAAAAAGAACTTAAATAGCGCAATCGCATCATTATATCTGCATATCAATCACAATAAAACGATTAGACATCACATATTACATTCAAAAAACCAACTTACAAGGAATGATATGCTCGCAATATATAACTTATTCAATCTTTATCAAAGAACTCACCTTTTGGCACGATACATAGCGGCTATGATGGCGTTGCAAGTAAAAACAGTGGGGCGAGTTCGGGAATAAACAGAATTGCGAGCGACATGGGAAGCAGTGTCAAGATCAAAAGCTCGGATTAGGGACTGGACTCGATTGTGGAGGTTAAGACGATGGCCAGTTAATGCGCTTGTTGAGTCAGGGAGGCGAGGAGCGTTGGGATCACGAGGGGGAGGGTTCGTGTTGCGTTGCATTGCTTGGAGTGGAGGGTCGATTCGGAGGCGACGCCTTCTTTTTCGACGTTCTGCTGCGGCTTCTTCGGCAGAGGAGAAGGCGAATGTGCGGGATGCTGGCAGGAGTGGGGAGGTGGAAATTGGAGGGTTAGGGTTTGGGGTATGATGGAGTGGAGAGAGAGTGAGGTGGTGGAGAGCGCGAACTAGAGGGTGATTGGTAGTTGTTAGAACGGCGGAGGAGCGGCGGAGGAGGAGTAGATAGAGGGACATTTTTGGGGTTTTCGTAAGGGTTTTACGAAAGAGGAAATGATGGTGGTTGTGGTGGTTACAGGGAGAAGGATAAGGAGCAGAGGAGAGCTTAAACCCTAAAGTGAGGATTTTAACTTCTAATGGTACGGAAATTAAACCGAAAAAAAGAAAGAAAGTGATATTCGAGCCTTTTTATTTTTATTTTTCCATTTTCTTTTGTATTTTCCACGTATATATTGTCTTCAGCACGTGTATTATTCAACTATTTTTTTATAATCTTTATAGATTATTTTTAATTATTTATAAGTAAATATTTTTATCATTTATTAAATTAAATTGTTTGGTTTTAAATCTGAATAGTTTTATATAAAGCTTGATAATTTTTTAATTAATTTAGTTTGTTTGATTTTTAAATTATATAAATATGTTTTAATTGCAATGAAATAAAAACTATAGACATAAAATAATTAGTAGTTAGGATATATGAGTATGTTTTATGTGGTTAATAAATATTAAAAGAAGAAGAAGAAGAATTAACCTGTTTTTTAGATTTTAATAATTTCTTTTCTTTTCTTTTTTCAAATTCCTTCAATGTTGCTTTATGTGATCGTAAAAATACATCGTCAATAAATGCTAGGTGGCTCTCCTCATGGCCATTATCACCGGTGATGTAGCTAAAAACATGTACCGGAAGACGATGATATCTAAAACGAAATATGATGGGCAACCAATTCCAAGCACTGAGACATCCACTGATTGTAAAGAAGAAAAGAACACAGCTTGACAAAAAGAAGCTTGAATATCACTGATTCGTGATTCCAATAAATCATCAAGAAAGATGTCAAAAACCAATCCTTTAAAACCAAATCTATAAGAATAAGAATCTCCAAAACCAATTGTATTTACACCATTTAAAGAATCAGAAGCTTATCAAAACCAACTATTAACACATCAGGTGTAACTCCCATTTATTTTTAGCTAATGGGGATAAGATCAAAGAATCATTATGAAGAATTCACCATTTCTTCAACATTCTAAATATCAACAATCATCGATCACATCTCAAGATCCTCGACGATGACTTTGGTCTGCCTGAGACTTGGCAGTTTAGAGATCTTTTGCGATCTTTTGCATCGCCTAAAAAAAATGCCATTATTAACATTTGCGGCTATGTACGAAAGAGAAGACCAACTTCACGACCAACTTCACGCGACTCTCAGTTAATAAACACAGTTCAGTGTCTGGTTTGGGTTGCAAACTGTTGAAGTGGATCAACCCAACATCTGTCCTCCTTTACCGCCTGTTCCCATCTCTTGTAGAAGATATTCATTTCAACAGATGACTGCATCCTCACCTGCACAAGAATCATTACTTACTAAATTGTACACTTAATAAAATGGTTGAAGGTAAGTAAAGTAGATGATAAGCATATAGATTCAGGATGAGAAAAATAAGTTCACAGGATCTATAGTTCATTTTGGAAAAAAAGCAGAGCATACTTCAGGTCTTTTATCAACTTCCTTGGCCTTAGATGGCAGTGCCTGCAATATACAAAACATGAACAGCCATTATTCACTGGTAAAGAATCCTGGTCCCTGGAGGGTCACAACAGCACGTTCAGTTAACTCAGTTACGCTACTGTGTTTTTAAAGTAATACTGGTAAGAAAAATGAAACAATTCACCAGTATGAATGTGTTCATAACACAACATGATGGAGAATCCTGGTTTCTTCAATGTCATTGCTGCAGATTATCCAGCCTATTGAATTAATGATTGTATTGATGTTTTATTCATGTAATATTTATAATTTCATGTCCGAGCATCACCAAAGGAGACAACTGACAAGCCAGCCAAATCGTACAGCATAAGAGGTAGTAACGCTAGACCAGCCTTTGCTAATGAGTCTTACGAACACAGAGAAGAACAGGAAAGAATGACAATTATGCTATCATAAGGAACATAAGAAATACTTGCCTCGCTTCCATTGAAGACACCAAGGGTCGAAAGACCCAGATGAACTACATACTCAGCATCAACCACACCGACATTTTTTGTCCAATCACCCTAAAAATAGTAGAAATGTCACTAACATAGCCAAAGAGAGATCTCTCTCTGTCAGTAAAGCCAAAGAGAATTGCAAATTGAATAGGAATTAAAAGAGTTACTTGTGCACAATAACCAAGTTTTCTATCCAAACCCCATGCGTGGATCAAGTCATTCTGCACAGGTGAAAAGGCAAATTAGAGATGACGAAGCAGCTAAATACTAGTTGACCTACCAAGCACAAACGTAAATTGTGGACTCTGCAGCCAAACCAAGTATGGGATGTAATTTTAAAGGCAAAGCACTCTGCTCCAACATAATGATTAAGAAATAAAGGAGACCATCCTCCTATTAGGATCCATTCAATATGGATCAGCAAATATGCCTCTTCTTACTGTGACAAAGCGGTCAAGTTTTCAATTTATTGCAGGTTATTAACTACTTGGTTGACAATTTGGTCAAGTGCCAAAACACAACCATCATTGTCGCAATATGGAATAGATTTGATCATTCAAAGATTCAATACCTGGATCATGTACCATGTACATCGCCAAGCTGCCTTTGAGAAGACAGGTGCCATCATTTCCACCCAACTGCATAAAAAGTTTTTCTCTGACCAAATAAGAACAGTGTACTTCTTGCAGTTTGATGAAAAAAAATTCTATTTTTCTCCCAACAGAAAGGTTATTCTTCTGCAATACAATACATAGTTATTGCAATTACAAACTACAGAGTTGGTTGTCATTTAAAATTTACCCTGTGCATGGAGGTGAGGTGCTGTTGTGATAACACCTTGTGTTACCTCTGAACTTCAATATTTTCCTGTTGAAAAAATCAACCTAAGAAGTTAAGCGAGACCTCTATCCTCTATCCACAATTAATTTCCTCAAACGAAAAGCATTTATACTTTGGCAATCATGCAGTATAATAATAACTACCCCAGATTACAAGGATTTTATTTTCCCTGTAAGGCTGCCCCCCTTATTTGATAATTTTCCTATGGATTCATGGCACACACAAAAGGTAACAACATCACGAGGTGAATAAAACAGTCTCTGTTGCTGAAAGCACAGTGGAATTCACAATTGTCAGTCTCCATGATGAAGCTGAGGAAACCGATTATGACGATTTCCTCATCCCTACTACACCCTGGAATACTTTTCAAAATTGGCATGTTCCCAAACTTCGACCTATTATTTTGAATTCTCATAGACTAATGGAAGTAGCATTAGAAGATTGAATGACTGCACCTTTTGCAGATATTCCTAATATTTAAAACAATCTAACCAGGGAAAAGAACTGCACAGACAGATGAAAGAAGTTTAAAGAAGAAGAAGAAATAATTCGCATGTTAAAAGTCTACTTCATTACCACAAATTCACAATGGATGATTACTGGATAACCTTGAAAAGTAGGTAACTGAAACAGAATTGGATAAGTTCAAGCAAAATTTGTGCTTAATTCAACCAGCAATGATTGAAATTCTCAGTAACTTCAACTCTGAGTGTGCATGCAGCTCTTGGATATTAACAATCAAACTCTTAGCGAAAAAGATGCCAAGAAGAATTTGATTAAAATGTTCATATCCAAAGTAAACTCCTTTTCAATGCTCTTCATCTGCTCAGCAAAATTTGATGGAATCCAACAGCTATAGAATGATCAGTTTAACATTTAAATCATTCCAGAAAAGGAATTTATGCTAGTTTACACAAACCTGTGCACTGTGGAGTTCCTCATACGAGCAGTAATTTGTTGATGAATGGTAGACTTAGCAGGATCAAGTGCTGGCTGTGATACTTCTAGTCCCTCATCTTTAACAATTGACAGATATCTGCACAAAAATCAGCATGTTCGATAATGTTCATGAAATCATAATCCATAAAACCACTTGTAGTCTTGTTAAAAAAGAAAAGGAAGGACACGTCTACATCTACCACATGGTATTTAAGATGTTTTAACTTGTTTGACTAAGTCAGCAAGGGCATTCGGTAGTCAAAAGACTCCTATTTCCATTACAACCAGAAAATAATAAGAACAGCAAAAATGCATCTAGACAAGTTTTCACTAGGTTTGGCCATTGAAGTATTAATTATAAATATTGGGATACTGTTTTTAGGAAAAAAAAATTTGAGACACAGCACCAGTTTTCATTTCTAAGCATGCTTACCGTCTTGGATTAAAATTTTCAACTCCAAGGTCTTCATCCCAAAGAAATATATAATTGTATTCAGCAACTATGTCAGGATGCAGGAAACGCTTAGCAAACCACCTGTGCAATCAAAATAATTGTTCATCTAAGGATGGATGATGTGAGATGGTACAGACCATACATAAATACACACATGCACGTCAACATGAACAAATGCATGGAAGCATGTCCTGCAAATGCATATAAACAAATGTGTGCCAGCCTGTGTGCACGTGACCAATTCCATTCATGATTCAAGGAAACAACAACTTGGGATGAATCAAGCTCACCATTTTGTTTGATTTACAGCAGAGACATGGATGGCACTATTGCTCCATGATAAACCCCTCCATTCATCCACAATACCATCATAATGAAAAAGCATCACAACAAAATCGCTTAAAGGGAACTGCAAGAAAAAGATAAATATTAAGTAGAAATGAGCACAGAAAAAATTTGAACACCACCAATATATCAAGATTGAAAGCCACCTTTTTAACAATTTGGTCTACTATTGCCTTTTGCTTTATTCCGACTGCAATTGCTAACAAGCTCATTGAAGGTTGTGGATTGTCCTGGCAAAAAAAAAATGCCATATTTGATAAGGACAATTGAGAAAATCTTCCATCAGGTTTACAAAAAACCATCGTGCCAATGTTGATTGTCTAGTTCTGGACTACTAGAAGAAAATACTAATTTTAAGTTTAAATCTCAACACACTTTGCAAATTAAGTCTAAGACAAAATTTCTGAGTCATTCGATTGAGGACTGTATCCTCACATTTGAAGGTCCTACTTACTCAAGTTCATGAGCCAGATCTAGTCAGGAAGAGCAGACCAACCTTACTTCAAAATAAAACATAATCAACTATGTTTTGAGCTACTATAAGTCAACTCTGAGGATATTGATTGTTCTTGCAGTGTACTAATAAAACTTGGAATGGTTCATGATATCATATCCCTGGTCTATGATGCAATGCAAGATCTTCAATGTCTACCAAATCACTGTTCAAATGTAAAGGAACAAAACCCGCAACCCTTCAGAGTAAAGCAATTCAAATTTAATTAGTATTGAGCTAGAAAATAATGATATGCATGACCTGCAGAACATAAAAAATTATCTGATGAATATGAGGTTCCCTACACCCACTAACCAATCCAATGAACCTAAAGTTCCTTCTCACATGGATTGAGCATCTGCATGGATTCACTTACATTTTTCAAAGAAGAGCCCCATAAAGGCCGCGTTTTAAAGTTAGATTTCTCAGTAACTATTCCTTGAGGCAATGCCTCACTTCCAGAAGACCTGCAATGATCCTAAGCAGAAAAAAGATAGAAATCAGAAAGAAATTCAAGTCACTTGGTGTGCCACTTTAAAAGTGTCTTTTCATTTTAATCTTTTCTAAAAGAGACAAAACCTTGCATTTGTCAGATTTCTGCATCGCCTCAATCACTTGCCATGCAGTTATTCTCTGCATAGATGAATACCAGTAGAAAATCACCTTGAAGTTGTAGGTACGTTTTAAATCATCAAAAAATTTGAAGTCTTGTTCAAAAGAAATTCAAGCCAGACTAGATAAAATTTCAATCACTTGAATCTTCATGTCTAGAACAGCTTGGTTAGTCTACAACTAGAGCAGAGACACTATATTAGTCTGCAACTGGCAAATGCGAGCTGCTACTATAACTCCATTTTAAGGTCGTAGTTCAAGCTTGATTTTCCAATTCCAAATTCACATATCCAGGTGCTTTCAATCTACATAGAGTCAACAGTTCTAAGCCTCCTGTCAGTAACTTTCATATTAAAATAAACTATACTAAAATTGATAAGATACGTAGAAAATACCCCTTGCTTTAATTTCTAGTGCTGCTATTCTCCTTTCCAATGTTTCCAGCTTCATTATGTAATTTTATCTCTTCATTTATAAGACAGTCTGCAATTGACTACTTTAACCAAAAGCACTAACAATATCAGCTTCTAAAGAGAACCAACTGAGTCAGTACTAAGTGACACGCTATTTGTGACAAACAAAGGTAGAAATTCAGCAGAAAAGGTACTTTAAAATTTCGAGAACAAAGCTAACATAAAACCTTTCATCTATTTATACATAAACCTCATTCAAGCTCTGCCCTAGAATATTAAAATCCTCTTAAAAGAACATGCAGCCATCATGTCACCATAAAAAATTGCAAATCTACAGATCAAACAAGGCCCATGATATTGTTTTATGTAGAAGTAAATTTTAACAAAACACCACCATAAGAGATACTTACTGCTTTGGATTGCTTCCCAACAAATGCAGAACCAACAAGGTAAACACTACATATCAAAGAAACTGCAATGAAGAGACTGCAGATGTGTGACCCTCTCTTAGGATCCGATGGTGCAGAAGCCTGAGAAGGTGATGGAACATGGAAACATGAAAAAATTATAATCCCATTTTGTTTCATAGGAGCAAGGCTGTAAGTGGCTATGCAAAGGACAAGAGGTGCATTAAACAAAAATTAAGTTGATGAAACAAAAAAGAAGTCTGGTAATCATCAGCACTATACTCTTCCAGATAAGTTTGATGCATTCAGCATTATACTTTTTAGACGATAGTCTATCAATACAAACTCAAAATTCCACTGAGTCTTCTTTAATATAAAGACCCTAGGCTGATAAAGATCACATTGAGGTTTTGGTGACCTCCGTATATGTCTCATGGTAATTCAGAGGCAGAAAAATGAAAAATATCTTGAACACATGTCAAGTAAGTCATATAACTTCAGATCCACAACTCAGCTTCGTCTCAGGGAAACATATCACAGATAATTTCCCCATTATCAACCAAACATTTCAGCAACAAATGAGAAACGGAAGTTCTAAAATCTAGACCAATGGCCTAACTTATAAACTCTAAATCCAAAACCTTAATGGCACATGCTATTGTTGTGGCTTATTACTCAACTATTTCTGTCTTATTTAAAGACCAACTATTTTCATCAAAATTTGAAATCATCTCGCAATCAATTATAGAACAATTTTAGAGAATTGAACACATAACTCTTTGAAAAAGTTTAGTACTATGTGCAATCGCTAAAATAAAGGTCTGAATTCAATCACCAAGTCAATTTGCAAACAATGACCTCCTTTTCTCTTTTTTTTATATAATAAAGAAGAACCTCTTAGGTTAATGCTAAAGTAAAGAAAACCCAAAAAAAAAAAAAAATGATTTCTTAAATTGTAACTTGAAATGTCTTCCACTCAAAGAAAGAAAAAAGTAACCCTGTAATAGAAGTTCCACTTTCACTTCACAAATAGCAAACCCGTAAGACCAAAAAATTTCTAACTTTCTCTCATCTCCTCCTTTTTCTCAGCAACCAAACAGAAGGCCAAAGAAAAGATGTTCTAATTTCCAATTTCCAAACAAAAGATCATCCCATTTATCCCTCTCTAATTATAATAAAGTAAAACCAAATGAAATTGACTCCTCTAGCCACTGAACAATATCAGCATCTAAATATAAGAATCAATAGAAAATTGAGGTTCAGGTGACCTCAGAATCAATAAAAAAAAAAAAAAATCGATAGAAAATTGAGGTTCAGGTGACCTCAGAATATCTCTCATACTATTTTGCCACAGCCAAAAATAGAAAGAAAAGGAAAAGTCTCCTTCATACCCAAACAATCAAAATTTTAAATTGTGACACAAGTCAGTTGTGGTACAAAAAAATAAATAAAAAATAGACAATTGAAGATATAAACACTTTAAAGTTCTTCATGAGACTACAAGTCCAAGGAAATAATGGTTCGAATTCAAGCATCTACTCCCCCACGACAGGAACCAAACTAAAGAGATAGAGAGAATTGCTAGCAAAACCATCTTCAATTGCGGCTATAAGAAAGAGTCCATTTTTTATTATTACTATTATTTTCACATGGCCAGCAAAAATTTGAACTTGAAAGTTCGATTTTGTTTTAAATAGACAATAAAATTTTTTAAACGTTTTCCAAGGTATCCTGAAATAAAAAAAAATTAATACCTCTCTCTCACTGTCTCCCTCTCCTCACCAGAAACAAAAATTCCAGATTCCAAATCTAATAAAAAACAAACAACAAACAACAAACCCATAAGGGGCCAAGAGTTTCAAACTTTCTCAGCAAACAAACACTGGGGGAGAAAAGACGGTTAAATCTCAAAACAAAAACTCACACTTTCTTTCCCATTTATCCCATTCTAATCATGATAGAGTAAAACCAAAACAACCATCATTAACTAAGAAAACACAAACAAACACACGTAGAGAGAGAGAAAGAGAGACAACTGCAACCAGTAAAGTTCAGAACCAATAAAGTAGTTCCCAAAATTTAAACAAAAAAATAAATCATCCGAAACCCACCAAACTTTGCGTGTGTGCATGAGAGAGGGAGAAAGCTTACACAATTAAGGGTCTTCATTTTGATGGAACATAAAATGAGAAGCAGCTGTGTCAAAAACAGAAGAGGCCCCAAAAGATGGAAAAAAAGGAGACCCTTTTTGATTTCTTTGTGCTATATATAATATAAACTTGAAAAGAGAAGAAAAAAGAAGAAGAAGAAGAAGCCCTGTGTAGTTGGATAAAGCAAAGAATCTCTCTCTCAAACAAAGTATTGAGAAAGTTGATGAGGAAAGTAAAGCTACAAAGGCACAAACAACCAAGCCCCACCACAAACCAACACTTTATAAAACTCCCTATGGCTATTCTCTTCCCCCCACAAACGGCACCGTGTTTGAGAAGCCAAAGCAAACTGTAGTTCAAGATAGAATTTGGAGACGAGACAGAGACAGAGACCTACCTCTTTGCTACTGACTAATGAATAAAGTTCGGATTTTTGTGATTCTTAAGGATGTTCGTGCTTTGGTAAGATACAGATTGTGGCACTTTTTTAAGTGCCAAGAAAAAACAAAACATGCAAGAGAAAATGTAGGGGAGTGGTGGGGAAGTGTGCGTTACAGCAAGACAAGTTTACATGTACGAGAATTTCAATTTGTCCTCTAACTTTAAATTTATTATTAATATAGTCCTCAACCTATTAATTATTTCAATTGAATTCCTAATGCATCTTCTTTTTAAACTTGTCTTTCTTTTTCTTTTTTTAATCTTTTTTTTTTATGTAAAATATAAGTTTTATTCAAAACAACAACATTGTTCACATCAACGAGGAATTGATGATTGGACTCGATTGAGGAACGCCCAATACTTCGAAAAATTGAAAGATTGATATTTTAAGGACCAAGTTTAGAATGAGTAGATTAGGTTTGCTTACCCATTTAGGCATTTATGTTGTAATGGGGATAATTAAAGACTTTGAATTTTTAATGTTTTTCCATACTTTTCTGAGCAACACCACAAGATAAAAGTCACATTTGCAATTAATGTTTTGCCATCCTTTTTTGAACAACACCACAAATTAAAGTCACGCATTGCTAGTGTATATATATAATGAACTCATTTTTGGATTTTTTGTTTAAAAAAAAATTAATTTCAGAGTTTTATAAAGAAAAAATATTTTAATGAGTTTTTCAGTAGAAATATTTATAATCTTTTATATTTATAGAATTCGTGTGTGTATAAAATATATTTATATTTATGATCGTTATATAATATGCACAATTATGTTTTATAGATAAATTACATACATGAATACTAAAATACAGTAATATTATTATATATGTTTATATGTTTATTTATTAATATAATATAATTGTACAAAGATATAAATTTATCAATTTTTCAAATACAATGTTGTAATCTATAAAGCAAAGAATATCTCTCTCAAAGAAAGTTGATCAGAGAAAGTAAAGCTGAAAAGGGCCAAAAGCGAACCCACCAAAAACAAACGCTTGGTCAGACTCCCTATGGCCGTCCTCTTGCTTTCACATACGACACCGTGTTTGAGAAGCCAAAAGCAAACTAGCTTTTACAAATAACGTTTGGAGAGGAGAAAGAGAGCGATTTTTTTATCTTTTATTTTTTGAGCTGCCAATTTATTTTCTTTTGTTTACGAGTTCCTCATTTTTATTGTATTATCAATTCAAATATTATTATATTCCCAAAAAAAAATCATAATATATAATTTTTCAAAAGAGAAAAATGAGAAAATCGTCTTTATTACATTTTTCAATTCACATCAAACTATATTCTAAAAAAAATATGATTTTTTGGTTGTCATCATTTTTTTTATTCGTTATCTTTTATTTTAATTTTTACTGTATTTTCAATCTTTTTTCATTGAATATCTTATTGGATTGCACATGTAGCACGATATTATAGATTTAAATGCAATATTTTTCTCACGCAAAGAAAGAATGTCACAAAAGACAAAAAAGCAAACGAATTTATTTATTTATTATTTTATTTCTCACCATGTGTGCGGAAGAAGCAAACACAATCTCACACTTAACCTGTAAAACAAGATAAAGTACTTTGCAGTACAAAGCAAGGCAAAACAATTATTAGAATTAAATTGATCTCAAATCTTAAATTTATCTATCTAGACTGACCTAAATAGGTGTCATATGAGATAAACTTTTTATATGAAAAATAAAATTATATATTATAGTATTTCAATCCCTTTTAACATCAATTTAAAAAAAATAAAATTAAAATAAGTTCTTAAAAATGATAAATACTCTCAATCCCAATTAGGTCAAATTTTAAAACTCACAAATAATAGAAAAATTAAATTTGAAGCTTTACGCCATGATTTGAATGATATAAAATTTGGATTTACAATTTTTATACAGCAATGCAATATTATATTTGTTATGATATAACATAGAGAATTATATATTTTATAATTAAGGTAACATCATCTTTTGTTTAGATGAAAATCTTTATGTTGTGATATATATAGTATATCAATCCCTTTTAATATCAATTTTTTAAAAAATAAAATTAAAATAAATTCTTAAAAATGGTACGTACTCTCAATTCCAATCGAGTCAGATTTTAAAACACACAAATAACAAAAAAAAAAAAAAATCAAATTTGAAGCTTTCCGCCATGACTTGAATGATATAAAATTTGAATTTACAATTTTTATACACCAATACAATATTGCATTTATTATGATCTAACATAGAGAATTATATATTTTATAATTAAGGTCAAACCATCCTTCGTTTAGATGAAAATCTTTATTTTGTGATATATATATATATTAATGAAAACAAGGACGATGCAAATTCATACTTGTTTCGGTACTATGTTCTTGAATTACCACCACTTTGAAATCATTAGTTGCCAGATCCAATCCAGATCATATTAGAATAGTTATGGGGTGAAAGATTCGGCAAGTTATTTTCTTTAGCATAATCTTTAATTCTTTGGTTGTAGGATTCTATAGAGCAAAATCACTAAAATCAACACAATCTAGATAAAATATTCCATTGCAGGGATCACAAATACTTGCTACAAGAATCAGTAAATCAAGTGCTTGATGTGATAAATCTGCAAGTGTTTCATCTGAAAACAACTCAACCAAATCACGATAGTCTAGGTATACATAATATTTGACAAGAATAAAACCCCTATTACTCTGTTTGTAATAGTTGTTTCAGATGCTTTGCGATGAAACTAGAACTTATAATAATAGTGTACCATGACTTGGAAAAACATTTGAACCATAGTAGAGTTTTCACAGACAACCAAACCATGATAGAATTTCAATCATCATATCTT